AAAGTAGAGGAGGTGGTGGGGGCAGTGCGGGTCCCTTAGCCTTGGACAGTGACACAGGAAACACAAGATGCACAGCTCAGGGGTCAATCTCAGGGGTCTCTCTGAGGAGGGCGGGCACTGAGCCTGGGGGCCAGGGGGCTCCTCCTGGGCAGAAGCCAAGGAAACCGGGGTGCTAACCCCTCCCTGACAGATGAGCGGGTGAGTGGGCAGTGAGTGAGGCACTGTCCAGGGTGGCTGAGTCAGGGCCACGTGTGAGGACTCAGTCCAGCCCAGGGCCTGGCAGTGTCCGGAGGGTGGAGGGTGGCCCTCCTTTCCTATCTCTGTGGGTCCTGGGGGCAGACCGTGAAGCCCTCTGCCTTTCACACCAGCCAGGGCCGCCTAGATGAGTCCTTGTCGATTTGTGTGAAGGGACCTATAAAATCATTTGAAAACAGGAAGCCCGAGGCCCAGCGTAGGAGGGCCCCTGCACCCAAGCCTGAGATGGGACCCCTGCACTAGCCTCCACAAAGCTGGCCAGAGCATGCGTAGTGGGCCCACTGCTAGCGCGGCCCCAAATCTGGGCTGTTCTGGGCTCACCAACCGAGGGAGAACAGCCCAGCCCAGGCCGCCCACGGCTCCTTGGGGTCGAGTCCACGTCAGGCTGCATGTCTTCCCTGGGTTCTCAGCTGCTGATCTCACACCAGCAAGCGCCCACAGACGAGCATCTTCCCATGGACCAGAGGAAGCCAGGGGGCACGCTGTGATACCCCTAGAGAAGAACACCTTTTACCCCGGGGCCCACAATCCCTTAAGAAACGAGTCTTCGAAGAGCTGTCTAGAGGCAATAGGTGAGTTTTGCATGTTGCTTATGTCCGGAGAGGGCCCACGTAAGACTCTTGCAGGAACGGTCACTGTGCCCGGAAGGGATGCAAGGCTCCGTCCGCATCTCAGAGGTGGGCGCAAACGCTGTGGCCAGGCCGGTGATGGCGAAAAGCAGCAGCTGGATCAGGATGCTGGCTTTGCAGGCAATCCTGTGGTACAGAGGGGACATGGCATAGGTCTTGTGGGAAACTCTGAGGGGGGGAGAAAGGGAGACCCAGCATTGCCCTGGTCTCTGTTTGTGTGGACACACGATCCCACCCTGAAGTCCTTGTGCTGGTGCCTAAAGTTCGCTAGTGAAGGGGTGGGCTAGGAAAGGGATGGGCTAGGAAAGGGGTGAGTAGGGAAGGGATTAGCTAGGGAAGGGGTGAGTGAGGTAGGAAAGGGACAGGAAGGGAAAGGATGGGCTAGGGAAGGGGTTAGCAGGGAAGGGATCGGTAGGGAAGGGATGGGTAGAGAAGGGGTGAGTAGGGAAGGAATGGGTTAGGGAAGGGGTGGGCTAGGGAAGGGGTGGGCTCATCGGGGTTCTTACCAGTTGCAGAGGGGCCCAAAGATGAGCGCACCAGTAAGGAGCCCGGCCATGTACACTGACTGTGAGGTCTCCTTCAGGTGCTTCTGATCACAAACCAAGTTGAACTGAGGCAGACATAGGCAGACATGAGTCCAGGGGCAGCTGGGGACAAGTGCTTTATCATCTTGGCCGCCCACAACCAAGGTACGTGCCCCTGACTGGAATTGAACCTGGGGCCCTTCTCACTGCAGACCGATGCTCTATCTATCCACTGAGCCAAACCGGCTCCAGCTTGACCCCACATTTTATTGTGCAGGCTCCCTGTGAGTGGCACTTGGGTGGACATCAGACTTCTATATAGTTTTCTAAATGAACAGTTTTAAGAGAGAAAAGTTGCCCCAAGCGGTTTGGCTCAATGGATAGAGCGTCAGCCTGCTGACTGAAGGGTCCTAGGTTCGATTCTGGCCAAGGGCATGTACCTTGGTTGCGGGCACATCCCTAGTAGGTGTGAAGAAGGCAGCTGATCAATGTTTCTCTCTCATCAATGTTTCTATCCCTCTGTCTCCCTCTCCCTTACTCTCGGTAAAAAAAAAAATAAATAAAATAAGTTAAAAAATTCACAGATATAAAAAGAGAGAGAAAAAAGTTACCCCAAGCTAGTATGGCTCAATGGTTGAGTGTCAACCCATGAACCAAGAGGTTGTGGGTTTGATTCCCAGTCAGGGCACATGCCCAGGTTGTGTGCTTGATCTCACAGAGACGGAGAACACAGAGAGGGTGGGGGACAGCTGATCTATGATGTTTCTCTCTATCCTTTTCCTTTCCTCTCTCTAAATTCAATAAAAACATTTTTTTTTTTAAAAAGAGAAAAGTTAGCCCAAACTGGTTTGGCTCGTGGATAGAGTGTTGGCTTGCAGACTGAATGGTCCCAGGTTTGTTCCGGTCAAGGGCATGTACCTTGGTTGCAGGCACATCCCCTGTAGGGGGTGTGCAAGAGGCAGCTGATCCATGTTTCTCTCTCATAGATGTTTCTAACTCTTTATCCCTCTCTCTTCCTCTCTGTAAAAAAATCAATTAAATATATTAAGTAAATAAATAAATAAAAAAGAGAAAAGTGAGAAGTATATTGGTAGCTTTAATTCCTATCCCTTACACTTCTAAGACAAAGATAAAAATCACTAAACAAAAATAATCAGAAATTAGGAAATGAAGTAGGCAAATCAATTATAATTTAGGCTAATTTATTATACATATCTGTCTGACATTTTATAAAAGATTTCATCTTGGAATATGCTAGAAATGAGTAAATCTTCTTTCCATTCTATCTTCGCTGTTATGTGTTGAAAAGATAGAGGTTTGAACTAAAGCCCCAGGGCCAACATCACAGTTGTTTCTCCATGTTGGAGGGTGAGTCCTGTCCAGTTAAATACATAACTCATGCAACTGAGGTTAAGATTTTTTAAAGCTGAGTTTGTTTTCAACCTGAAGAAAAGTTTGATGTTTAAGCAAAACAGATTCCAAAGAATTCTGTCGGTGGCAGGAAGGGGGGGCGGGGGGCGGTTATTTTTACCAAGTGTGTGTACTTCTGCTATGATTGTGTTTATACTCACCTCAGAAGCTAATTTGATTTTAGGAAAATGAAATATGGTGGTGGATATCTTCCATTTTTCTGTTTTTATTTATTGTTATTACTTTCATTGATCTCAGAGACAGGGAGGGAGGGAGGAGATACAGAGAGAGAGAGAAACATAGATGTGAGAGAAACATTGAGCAGGCAGTTGCCTCTGAGTGGAGATTGGAGATCAAACCCACAACTTGGGCATGTGGCCTGTTCAGGAATTGAACCCACTACCTTCTGGTATATGATATGGTGCTCCACTCAACTGAGCCATACCAGCCAGGGCCATTTTTCTGGTTTTATAGCACTCCTCCCTTGGCGCCTGTCTTCCCCCCAGTACATGAGCGTTTGAGGCAGATAATTAAATCCAGTAGCCCTGTATACACAAAAGAAAGTTCTGGAAAGTTATTAACAACTATCTGTGGAAGGGATTTAGAAATTGGTGGTTAGAAGGTGACTTCTTCATTTTAATCAAATCTGTATTGATGAACTTTTAACTTTTGTACTAAAAGAAAAAGAAAACCAGCCAACCAAGCAGTAATAATGGGGAGATCTCAAGGTGCTTAGGACTTTTAAACCGGCCTCTTAAGTAATCAGGGGTCAAAGAGGAAATCAAAATACAAGACACTATATAGGAAGCACAGGGTGAAAACATCTTTTCCAACATCTTTGGGGTGTACTCAGAGGTAAGTGCACATTCTTAAATGTTTTTCTTAAGAGACTGAAAAGAAATTCTTTTTAATTTACTCTAAAGAGAGAGAGGAAGGGAGAGAGAAAGAAGCACCCATTTGTTGTTCCACTTATTTTCGTATTCCTTGATTGCATCTTGTACATTTCCTGACAAGAGATCCAACCCATAACATTGGTGTACGGGGATGACATTCTAACCAACTGAGCTACCTGGCCAAAGCCTATAGGATACTTTATCGACAAGTGAAACTTCATACAATTTTGACATTTCACTTTCAGTATTCGCCAACAAACCAGTGTGATTTGAATGATGTGTGAGACCAATAAAAGGAAGGTTCTAGGCTAGTACTATATAGTAGAAATAGAACGTGGACCACAAATGCAAGTCACGTGGGTAGTTTTAAATTTTCTGTCAGTCCCATTTCAAAATGCTTAAAAAACAACAACACCCAGATGCAATCAATGATAATATCTTATTAATTCAATATATCCTAAAGGTTATCATTCTTACATACTAGAGGCCCGGTGCACGAAATTTGTACATGGGTAGGATCCCTAGGCCTGGCCAGCACTCAGGGCTGATCATCTCCCCCGCTTCCCAGCCTCCCAGCCTCCCTGCCTCCCCACCTTCCTGCCTCCTCCTCCCCTTGTTCCCTCAGTGTCCTACCATGCCTCCAGTTGCCCACCATGTTCTGTGCTGCCCCCTGGTGGTCATGAACATCATGGCAAGTGATTGAACTCCCAGTCTCCCAAACTCCCAAAGGGACACCTTGCATATTAGCCTTTTATATATATATGCAATATAAAAAATTTCTTGTTTTGTTTTTGTACTGTTGCTAAAGTCCCGTGTTTACTCTATTCATAGCATATCACAATTCCAACTCTTGACCTTTCAAGCCCCCAGTGGCTGTATCTGACTAGGGGCTTTTATATGGGACAGCGTGGGAGGGAGAGTAAGGGAGGGAGGGAGGGAAAGTTCAATGTGATAGTGCAGATGGGAGTTATTGTTCCTTCACCTCCCAGCCCTGTCTTGAAAGGTGCACCTGGTGGGACCAAAATGTGTCCTTGGCCTGCACTAGAGTGGGAAGCACACTCACACTAGCAGAGGCCTGGGCTAGAGGACGTGGCAAGGTGGAGGTGCAGTCTTGCCCTGGCCCACCCTGGCCCTCACAGACACGGCCCACCCCACACCCCATCCAGGGAGCTCCTTGCCGTCCCCAAGGAGCATCTAAAGACAGTAAGGGCTCTTGATGAGCCTTTCCGACCCACCATCCATTGGGCCAGGGTCTCCAGGTTCTCCAAAGCCAATGGGGCCGAGCCATCTCAAGTCTAACACGATACCTTTATTAGAATTAATCACACCTTAGCTCCCCGCAGAGGAGCTATTTTTTGGATCTCCAGGGCTAACCTCAGAGTAGGGCTGACCCTGCCCCCGAAGCTGAACTTGGCCCAGAATTTGCAGCTTGAAATTCCCGGCCCCATCCTCAGCCGGTCAACTTCATTCATGATCGTCCGAGGGCCTGGCCTTCTTCCTGGTTGTTTGTGGATGCTTCTTTGCTACTCACAGGTGAGCTGAATAAGTCTGGTTCCGGTTCCATCATGGCATTGAGAAGGGTGTTCCTTATCACTTCCTGGTTCACTTCACTATATAATTTGCTCTCAGCCAACAAGATCTCTTTGCTCAGCTTCTTGTTAGAGCGCCTAGAGCTGAAAGAAAGCAGCAACTCTGGGGCGGCGCCCCCTCCCCATGCCCAGCGCTGTCTTCCAGGGAGGTGGGGCTCTCCCACACCTGCAGGCCTTGAGCCTGCGCTGGACCCTCACCTCTAGCTTTTGGCATCGGGCCGCTTCCGTCTCCTGACGCTAGCCAGACCCTTCCATCTCCTGCACCTTTGGGGGTCCTACCCACCATCTTCACCCTGTTGCCAAGCTTGATGTGGGTTTACGCCTCCCACAAACCCTGTGAGAGAGGAAGGCTGGGCTGCCTGTGCCTCAGTTTCCTCATCTGTAAAATGGGGGATAGTGACAGGACCTTCTGTGCATGTAGTAGTGGTTAGGATAAAGTGTGAAAAGGCATGTAGAGGACAGGACCCGACACGTAATACATGGTCCATGCCTATTAGCTCTTGTTATTACTATGTTATCAGTGAATGCTGCCAACGAAGAAACTCAAGGTACATGAAGAATCTCAGAGGTATTAGGTGCACATCTAGGAAGGGGTAGCAGAGACAGCAATTCAGGCCTTCCGGCTCCAAAGTCTGTGTTCTTAACTACTGTGCTGTGGCTCTGCTGCACTACACTCCCCTGTTTACAATGGGGCAAACTCCTATTCATCCTGCAAAGCCCAACTCACGTGTCACTTCCTCGTTGAGCCCACCCCAACTAACCTAACTCCCCAGAGAAATACTCCTCTCTCTGGGGGCTCCTGTAGTCTGACACCCCTCTGTCAGAGCCCATTAGTAATAACTGTGTGCATATCTGTCTCCCCCTGAACTATAGCTTGCTCTGACCACTGACAGCCCAACCCTGGTGGTGCCAATGAGAGTCTGAGGAGAATGGTGGGGAGGAAGGCAGGAGAAGGAGAGAGGCGGTGACCCTTGTAGTAGGAGCAGAGGGCCTTCACTGTTGCTCAGGTCCCCTAGGGCTCAGGAAGAGAGGGACGCACTCTGTTGGCCCAAATCCCGGAAACGGTGGTTCTGCCAAGCACAGGTCTTTTCCTGCGGGCACTGAGGAGAGCAGCGTGCCCACGGAAGGGGACCGGGTAGAGCCTAGTTCTTAAACAGGGTCCTGAGCTGCTGAGGCCAAGAGAGCTGATGTCAGCCAGTGACCTTTGCCCAGGCAGGCTTCCAGGAGGTAGAGAGAGGGGAGCGCCTGGCCCAGGCTGGACAGGAGGGCAGAGGCTGGGCCGGGGAGAGTTGGGCGGCAGCGGCAGGGCAGCTGGAAGAAGGCTATGGACACGATGGCTCTTCCCTCATAGGCCCTTTGGGCAAAGGGGCAGGCATGGACAGCACCTGACGTACTTTCAGGGCTTGAGAAGCAGGCCCTGTGCTGAGAAGAGCCCTCACACACCTACCGTTTGTATATGGAGAAGTGCTCCAGGATATCGACATGGGGCAGATTCTGTGTCTCCGGAAGCATGTAGAAGAGGGACAGGGACAAGATGGTTGAGACGTAGCCGATATAGTTGCTAATATAGGGGGGACTCCAGGTCATTAGAGCCAGGGACACTATGATTCCAGATGCCCAGGCCAGAGTCACCAGCCCCAGACCCGTTGCCCTGGAAGGAAAGATCAGAGCTTGTCTACTGGGCCTTGGAGGCCCAAAGGCTGGAAGCAGCAGCTCCTCTAAATCTCTCCCCGTACCCATCTCCGCAACCCCACAGTCTCTACCCTGTCCTCACACACAGTGCAACCTCCGGGAACTTAGCTCTCCATTGACCAAAGAAGGCAGTGGTTTCTCTGGGCCTACTTACTGGGGTAAGGAGGGGTGAAGCCAGCCCCACGCAGCACCCAGCAGGTGTGCGGAGCGAGTGTGGGCAGGAGGGCACTGGGCCATCAGCAAGCTCTCCCAGAACTGAAGGGCCTGACACTCAGAGGGGCCCAGATGGTCAGTGCAAGGCAGACACCGGGGCAGACCGCCTGGGGCTGGCGCTGGTTCTGCCATGGCTCTGTCTGACCTGGGGCCAGTGCCTTTCCCTCTCAGATTCTGTTGTCTTAGGTTAAGGATGGTGTTTGGGAGCAGTCTTGGTGAGGGCTACATGGAAGAATCCACGTAAGCTTCTCAACACACTGTCTGCCTCGGGGTGCATACCTGAGCTGAGCCACTGCTGTCCATCTTGTGGTTGTCCTGCCTTCTCAACCCCAGGGCCTGCTCCCACCCGCCTCCTACCTGAGGACGGTAGGCAGGATCTCGGCGCTGTAGGCGAAGAACATGCTGATGGAGGTGGAAAGGCTGAGTTGTCCCACCAGGATCAACAGCAACAACGTGGTTTTCAAGTCTGTAGCCAGACAATGTAACCACCTGAGTTTGGGGCCATTTTCCCCTCAGGCCAGCTTAGGGGAGGCCTGCCCATCAGCTTTCCCTGAATCCCTCTCAGAAGGCATCTCAACAGTCCATCCCCACGCCCTGGTCAGCAGACTCAGGCATTTGGTCAGAGGAGGGATGGTGTGCCCAGGCCCAGCCAGCAGGGGGAGAGTTGTCAGTAGGACAGGAGGTCCCTAGAGGGCCACCATCTACTTGGCTGGACTTGGCCCCTCACATCTGTGCCTCCAGGCGGTCTCCTGTCTTCCCCATCCTTCCCCAGAGGCACCCCATCCATAGGTGCATCTTTGGAGGGAGAAAGAAACCAGGAAATGCCATGCCTCAGGCAGGTGAAGACAATAGGAGCTGAGGGCTCATAGCCCCTCCTCCTGCTGTCAGCCTCTGCTGGATCCTGGTCCTGCTGGCCCCACTCCCCACTCTGAACCCAGCTTTTCTTGGCCCTGGGATGAGAGCAGACATGGCTAGTGGAAATTCTAGTCCTACTTTCTCTCACTCACTGGAGAGTTTTAAACATTTCTGCTTGACTCATTATAGATTCATTTAAAAACAAACAAACAAACAAACAAACAAAGGAACAAAACAATGCCCTAACCGGTTTGGCTCAGTGGATAGAGCCTCGGTCTGCACACTCCAGGGTCCCAGGTTCAATTACGATCAAGGGCACATCCTCAGGATGGAGGCAGCTCATTGATGTTTCTCGCTCATCAATGTTTCTAATTATCTCTCCCTCTCCCTTCCTCTCAGTAAAAAAGCAATAAAATATATATTTTTTAAAACTAAAAAAGAAAAAAGACAAACACCAAACACCAAGCAATAGAAATTGAAAAATGAATTTTTCTCACCATTTGGTTTTAGCAGCTGCACACTACCAACATCTCTGAGGAGAAAGGTCCTACCCAGCCAAGTGTCTCCCAATCCCAATCCCCAGAGAAAGAGAGGGAGCCCCCTTGAGGCAGACCCTGGACACAGTCCAGGCCCTAGTCCTGGCCCCAGCAGCTGAGTGGTCCATGTGGGCAGCAGTGCTGATTGGGTGAGAACAGACATCTTCATGTGCACATCCTCAGCCCTGGGAGGGGACCTGGGGTGCGGAGGGGGGTACTCCTTCACCCTAGGGCTCTTTGACATTTTGAAAATATTGCCAGCTCCCCAAGTCCCCAGCTTTCCTTCTTTTGTTCTGAGCCCCTGGGACACCGGGTGCTGTGCCCCTGGGTTGCGGGTTCTGCTTTTCTGTAAAGTCTACAGTTAACTGGCATTTTCCAATCAGAGGCTAAGATGAGAGCAGACCTTGGGTAGCAGTGGAAAGATTATTTTGCTGCATCGGTACACATTTTCCCGCACTGTTTGTTGGTTAATCCATACCTGAGGATATTTTTTCATTGATTCTTAGAGAGAGTGGAAGGGAAGGAAAGACACACAGTGAAAGAAATACCGATGTGAGAGAGACACATCGATTGGTTGCCTCCCATACATGCCCTCACTGGGGCCAGGGATCGAGCCTGCAACCAAGGTATGTGCACCCTTAACCAGAACTGAACCCTTCTTCAGCCTGAGGACTGACACTCTGTCCACAAGCCCAACTGGCCAGAGCTGTTCACATATTCTTTTAAGGTTTCTTTTAAACATTTTTTAAAATATGTTTTATTGATTGTTTACAGAGAGGAAGAGAGAGGGATAGAGAGTTAGAAACATCATTGAGAGACAGTCATTGATCCACTACCTCTTGCACGCCCCCTACTGTGGATGTGTCCACAACCAAGGTACATGCCCTTGACTGGAATCCAACCCCGGACCTTTCAGTCCACAGGCTGATGCTCTATCCACTGAACCAAACCAGTTTTGGCGTTTTCAACATTTTTTAAAAATAGAATTTGACAGAGAGCGAGAGGCGGGGGGGAGAGAGAGAAAGAGAGAGTGAGACAGAAACATTAATGTGAGAACAAAACATCCATCAGCTGCCTCCTGCACACCCCCTATGGGGGATCGAGCACACAACCCAGGCATGTTGACTGATCAGGAATTGAACCAGCAACCTTTCCGTGCACTGAGGCAGCTGTGCACACCCAGGGCTGATTTTGCTCACATTTAACTACCCGATCTAATGTGGATTGGAATCAGATGGAAGAAGGCTGTCCATACTCCTGGCCACCCCGGGATGATTCCTCCAGATGGCTCCCTCTCTCCCAGGCCTCTGGGAGCCATGGGTGCCTGGTCTTGGGGACCCCACCACCCAGGGAGGGCAGTGCTCCCTGGTACCGGGGCCCCTGCAGAGAAGGTGGGTTGTGGGTGTAGAAGACTGACTCCCAGGGTGTCTTGTTGGAGAGACAGGGCAGGAGGAACGAGGGAGGGATTTGGCAGAAGGCATGGGGAGCAGGAGGGGTGCTGTACCTGAGGGGATGAAAGGGATAAGCAAGTTCATGAAGCTGCCTTGGAAGAGAGCCCCTGCCATAGACCACTTCCTCCCAAAATGCTCGAACAAAAAGATGCCACACAGCCGGGCGGGCATCCCCATCATGCCAGGAATTATCTCGATCAGCTGTTGCTTCACACCAAAAGCTTCCATCTTCAAGGTCAGCGTAGAATAGCTGTGACCAACAGTAAACCTAAAATGAGACCAGAAGATAACTACTCAGAGAGAACAAGAGACACACACACACAGATACCCTCATGCAGATGTGGCAAAGTGAAGACGGAAGCGATGAGGGTAGGAGTGGGCAGGGGGGGATGGAAGGGAGAAATAAACACAGATCTGGAATCTACGGGCCACGCGCAGTCCTTAGGCCTTGCTCCCTTGCAGCCAGGCCATGCCCCATTCCTTCACCAGAGGTCCTGGCATGCACTTCTGTTTGCAGTCCTTGCGGGCCAGCCTTGAGGACTCACCACACAATAACCATCACCAAGGTCACCTTGCGCAGTTGACTGTTGCTATAGAAGTCCAGGATTGAGGCATTAGCCACCTTCTTTCCAGGCACCTGTAGCTACAGGACAAGCAGGACCAGCCAGAGGCAGAGTGGAGATTCCAGCTTGCTTCCACCCCTACAAGTCCCACAAGGTCCGTCCACCTGCCCCCATAGTGCCAGCCTGGTCTCTGGTCTTCCCGATGACATTTGATTTTGCTGTCATCCCTTCAAACAGTGGGCTGGAGATACCCTCTGGGCCAAGGTCCCACCTGAAAGGATGAGGCGGGCAAAGGCCCGTCCACAACCCCCAGCCCTGCCCTACTCTGGGCCTGAGGCCTCTTACCTTATCCAACAGAGGTAAAGGAATGGTCCTCTTGTTCCTTTCAGCGGCAGAGAGCAGTTCCTGCTTGGCTTCCTCCACCTTCCCCTTCACCAACAGCCACCGAGGGGACTCTGGGAGAATCCTGCAGACACACCCTCCTTCACCCATCACTCCCAGATGCCCCAGACACCCATGTGGGCCTTATCCCTGCCTCAGGGGTGGCCATCCTGTTCCAGCATGAGGTCTGAGGTCATCTGAATGACCTCATCATTCAGGATGCCTGAATGACTTCAAGGCATCCATCAACCTCAGGAAGTCCTCTGTCCCTCCTTGGAAGTCATTCCTTCCCTGTCTAAGCCACACACTGGTCCCACAGCTGCTTGGTGTCAGCCTGGCCATTACTGCCCCTGCCCGGCAGTGTCTTTCCCCTCAGCCACCTTGAAGAGCTCAACTACGTTCTATCTCAAGGGTCATCCTCGCCAGCCCAGGCACACGGAGGGCACTGTCTTCTATGCCCACACCCTCTATTAGAGCCCATTCACATAGCTGGGATTTCAGCCAACACTGAACGAGTTGTGCCCTGAAGTAGCTCCATTTTTCGGGCCGTCCTCATTCCTCAACTCCCTGTCGCTCCAGGGAAGTCAATGCAAGGTCATTAAAACCAACTTTACTAGACTTCTTTGGTGTGTTTGTTTGCCTTCAACCTGACCATTCCTTGTCTTTGAATTTTGCCTTTTGACACATTGCCTTTTGGTTTTCTGAACAGCTCTCTGACAGCCCTTTGAGGGTCTCTTCTGAGGGGGGTTCATGCTGGGGCTCCAGAGGCTCTGCCCCTGGCTCTCTCTCATCTCATCCCCACATCCTCCCAGGGAACAATCCATTCACTCCATCCCTTCAAGGATCCTTCCCAACCCGCAATCTCCAGTCCCTCAGACCCAGCCCCACGCATGCCCCGTGCCCCTTGGCTTACCAGATAAAGGAGACGAGGAATAACACAGGGGCTGTGCCAAACACAAACACCAACCGCCAGTGGGGAAAAGTGTAGCCAAGTCCACTCAGGAACATGAGCCCCAGAGAATAAAAGCTCTGGCTCAGGATGATGGAGTGGGCCCGATGCTCGCCCACTACCCACTCAACAGCTGTGCAGAGGCCAAGAGAACAAAATCTTGGTCAGCTCAGGGTCCCTGGGGCTGCTCCTACAGCCAGTCTTCTGAGATTCCCAGCCCTACTTGGGACAGTTCAGACTGGGCACACATTCCCTGCACCTCCAGGCAGCCTGAGGCGGAGCTATTTCCTCCACACCATGAGCCATTGGATGGCAACTCTGTCCTGCATGCTCATAGCCCCCCCCCCCCAAACCCCGCATGCACTCCCCCTGTCCCCCAGCTTCCCTAAACCCGCCATCCTGGTGTACACTCCCTCCATGCACCCCACCGCATGCAACCTGGCCTCACTTAGAGCCATGCTGCTGATGGCGTGGCCCACCAGGGAGTGGGATAACCCAAAGCGGAAAAACAGATATTGGTTAATGCTGGTGACGAAGCTTGTCCCAAAGCCAAAGATGATTATGCCCAAGTTCGACAGCAGTATGCAGGGGTAGCGGCCAAGCCTGTGGGCATCAAAGGAAGGCTGTGCCAAGCGCATGGACCTCCATGTTTGGACCCGGCCCAACACTCAGGCCAGGTCCTGAGCCATCCACAGACCTCCCCACCCTCGCCTCCCTCAGCTTGAGACTGCTCAGCTCTGCATGCCCATGAGGAGGAGGAAGGGGCAGCCCCGGGGCCAGAAGAAACTCTGGGAGACTCACTTGTCACCTATGAAGCCAAAGATGAGTGCCCCTGTCAGGAGGCCTGTCATGAACATGGACTGCGCGGCTTCCGGGGAAAAGTCCTCACCACACACCAGATCAAACTGGGGATTACACACAGGCATTGGCACAGGCCTCCACCCAGGGTCAGCGGTCTGGTGCCCCAGACAGAGCCTCCTCCCAGGGTGGGTGGTTAAACAGAAGGGGCCTGGGACAGGGACAGGCAGCAGGCCTCAGCTCTGTCACCCCTGCCTTCCATCCTGCATCTGGCAGACTCTGGGAGGCAGGCCTGAAGGGAGGGACCAGGGGCTGAGCCACGCTATGGGCAACATGGAGAGGTCCCTGTGTAAAGGCCAACATCACTAAAGACCCTTTCCCAAATACAGATGCTGGGCTCCAGCCCAGAGGTTCAGATTGGCAGGTCTGTGCCTAGAAGGGCCCGGATTGCATCTTAGATTCCTTTTTTTCTTCAGTTCCCAATCTTCTGTGAGTTCAGAGGGCAGAGCCACAACTACAGAAGCAGCTCCTTGAAGAAATGGCAAACCCTGCCATCTGCCCTCTGCCCCTACCCCCAAATCCACTCTAGCTCTCTGGCTAAGACGGGCGAGGCTAGGGCTGGGCAGCAAGAATCATAAGTTCCTGCCCTGGCCCTTCCTCTGCTGGGTGACCTTGGTCTAACTGCTAATCATCCCTGAGCCTCAGTTTCTCCACTTGTTTGGGAGGGGGAGGGCACATCTCCCAGCCCATGCTACAGGCAACCCAGGACAAGCCGCACCTCATTGATTATTGATCGAGTCTTGCTCTCAGGGTAGACAAACCCCTGGCTGCACGGCTGTGTGTAGTTGAGGCCAAACTTGATGATGGAATCCAGATCCCAGGTCACAGGTAGGAACATGCGGCATGTCATGAAGCTGCCATTTTTGTACCGGGGCAGGGTCAGGTTCAGCTGCTCAGCCATTGACAGGTTAGGGCCCACGTCCAGGATCCAGCTGGTATTGCAATAGGCCTTCTGTTCTCCAGACACAAAGAGGTCAGCATACATGAATACAACCGCAAGTATATTGGGGATGAAGGTTAGGGCTACCAGCCTTCGCTGGAATGGGCCAAACTTCCCCAACGCTTCCATGATATTAGCAAGCTTGTCCTGCTGGTTGGCTTCCATGATCCTCAACTTGCGTAACAACTCCGCAGACTTGGGACTGGAGTGTTCTGCCTCCTCACGCCGTTGTAAGTTCCTGTAAGAAGCCTGGTTTTGGAGCTCCATTGGCTTTTCTTTACCAGCCATCTGTTCAGAGAAAGGATGCTGCTCTGTGTCTACCACCCAGAGCTTGAGGGCTGGCGTGGAGCCACTGACTAGAAATTGGCTTCTCTGTCTTGGAACAATTTGGATTTCAATCTTGATGTTCTCCGTAGCTCCTGCCTTTGCTTCTGAAGTTTCTTAGCTAATTTGTCCCCCATTGGCCCACCCATTCCTGTCTCTTTAATGTTTTACACCAGTGGTTCTCAGCCTTTCCAATGCTGCATTGTGGTGACCCTCAACCATAACATTATTTTCGTTGCTTCTTGATTACATTATGAATCGCAGGTGGAGAGTCATAGGCGACCCACAGATGAGAACTGCTAGTAGGGTCGCCTAAGACCATCGGAAAACACAGATATTTACATTACCATCCATTGACAGTAGCAAGATCACAGTAATGAAGTAGCAACAAAAATAATGTCATGGTTGGGGGTCACCACATGAGGAAATGTATTAAAGGGTCGTGGCCTTAGGAAGGCTGAGAACCACTGTTATAGATGATGCCCTGCTAAGTGCTAAGTTCTCCAACAATTTCCCGGCTTCTGAAACTTACCTTACACACCCACAAAGGCACTACCAGTCTTGCAAAAGTAGAGTTCTCCAGGGAAATCTGTTTCAAAACAAAAACAAACAAAATAACACCACCACCAAAACATCCCCAAATCTGGATCAGGAGAGGCCAGGAACTAAGGCCACAGAGATGGGGCTGATGCAGTGAGGCACCAAAATAGTAGGATTAGTCCAGTCAGCGTGGCTTATTGGTTGAGAGTCAACCACTATGAACCAAGTGGTCATGGTTTGATTCCCAGTTGGGGCACATGCTCAGGTTGTAAATTCGAGGAGTGCAAGAGGCATCCGATGAATGATTCTTTCTCATCGTTGATGTTTCTCTCTCCCTCCCCCTTCCTCTCTGGAATAAGCAAAAACATATTTTTAAAAATATGTGTGCCCCAACAGGTTTGGCTCAGTAGATAGCACCTTGGTTTCAGGCATATCCCCAATGGGGGGGGGGGGGGGTATGCAGAAGGCAGCTGATGTTTTTTTCTCTCTCATCAATGTTTCTAACTCTCTCTCCCTCTTCCTTCCTCTCTGTAAAAACATCAATAATATATATTTCAAAAATAAAAAATAAATTTTAAAAAAAGGACTATGTGATATGTGCAAAGATACCCATTAGGGTGGCTAACACTTTAAAAAACAAAAACAAAACAGAAAACAAGTGTTGTTGAGGAAGTGGAGAAATTGGGACCCTCCCAAAGTGCTGCTGGGAATGTGAAAGTGCAGCCAAGGAATGCAGGCAGCTGGAGCAGCTGGAAAAGGCAGGAGAAGGAATATGCCCCTGAAGCCTCAGGAAGGAACGCAGTCCTGCTGCCTGACATCTTGACTGGAGCCCAGCGAGGCCCATTCTGGACTTCCGACTTCCAGAGCTGCGATGTAATAAATGCATGTTGTCTTCAGCCACTAAATTTGTGGTCATTTGTTACAGCAGCCTTAGGAGTCTCATATGGTGCATATACATGTAAGGTTGGAGGGGGGCGGAAGTGGATGGAGGAGACTTCCCAGGGGGGGGGACTTGGCTCTGCCCAGAGACCTGGCTTTCAGGAGCCAGCTGCCCCCGCCTTGCCCTCGGGGTTCCCTTCAGTGTCCCCGCAGCATCACCTAAATGCCCGCAGGGCTCTGACAGTCAGCAAGGCCCTGGAGCACTCGCCCCTCTGCTGACTCCACAGCTGCCCTGCCAGGTGGACAGGCTCCAGGTAATTGGTTCTCAAGGTACAAAAGAAGAACGTGAGCCCTGGCCAGTGTTCTCAGTGGTTAGCGTAACAGCCCAAACACTGAAGGGTCTCAGGTTTGATTTCCGGTTTTTGGTTTGATCCCTAGCCCCATTCAGGGTGCATGCGGAAAGCAACCAATCTATGTGTCTCTCACACATCAATGTTCTATCTCTCCTACCCCCCCACCTCTTTCCTTCCCTCCCATTCTCTCTCTCTAAAAAAAAAAAAAAAAAAAAAAAGGAAGGAATATCCTTGGGTGAGGAGTAACAACAGAAAAGGAGGAAACTGAGACCTGGAAAAGAAACTACAGCCAGGAGCCATGCTCCATCTGAGGCAGGAAATGCCAGATGCCACACTGAAGCCACACTGCCTGTGAGGGCAGCCTGCTGCCCCCACACACTCCCACAGTCCATGGTCCTGGCAGCTCCTGTCCACACCTGTGCTGACAATACGGCCCCACACTTGCCACGTGTCATCAAAACCGCCACCCTCCGCATCAGCCCTGTCCCTCCTCATGGAGACAGAACCACACCCCAAAGCCAGGACGCACCTCAGCATCCTCCAGGCCTAGCCAGGCTGTAGGCAGCAGAACCTTTGGGTTCCAATGGTGGCCAGGAAGTAGTGTCACAATGGGGCAGGGAGTGCCCGGGTGGGGTGGCATGGGAGGAGCAGCATTCTACTCCAGGGGCCTCACTGGGCCACGGACCCCAGGGGGAGGCTGTGGCAAGGCAGGTGGGAAAGTCTCCCCGTGAGCCAGCTCCAAGCCTTTGTGCAGACTGTTCCCGGCTCCTGGAGCACCTGCCCTCCCCTTAAAGGTCCCACCTCCTCTGTGGGAAGTTCTTCTGTCTGTCCAGGCCCAACTCACAGGTCCTCAGTCCCCAGGTCTAAGGTGGGGGTGGGAGGAGGGGTAGAGGCGGGACAGGCTCCCCCTCTGGCTGCTCCCAGATCTATAGGGGGCAGCGGTGAGCACTGAGCCGCAGGCCTGGCCCCCTAGCAGCTCTGTGCAGGGCAGTTCTTCCACTGCCACAGGAGGGAGGGGAGGCAGCACAGGTGGGAGACTGGGTGGTGAGAAGCCTGGGAGCTGCCTTAGGATGGCTGCTCCTTTTCTGAGAGGAGGAGAGGCTGTGAGGAGGCAGAATGAAGGCATGCAGATGGGAGGTTAGAAGAAGCCAGTGGGGAGCTCAGCCCGTGTGGCTCAGTGGTTGAGCATCGACCTATGAACCAGGAGATCATGGTTCGATTCTGGGTGAGGGCACATGCCCAGGTTGCAGGCTCAATCCCCAGTAGGGGCTGTGCAGGAGGCAGCTGATCAATGTTTCTCATCATTGATGTTTCCATCTCTCCCTTTCCTTTCCTTTCCTCTCTAAAATCAATAAAAACATATAAAAATCCTATATAATAAAAGCCCAATATGCAAATCAAACAAACCTGCAGAACAGCAGGTGAAATGACTGGTCTCTATGACATAAACTGACCACTATGGGGCAGATGCTCACTGTAGAAGCTGCCCCCAGCTCGTAGGCCCCAGGCTCTCCAAGGCAAGTGCCAGTGGGGCACCCAATTGCCCTGCTGGTTGCCCTGCAGAAGGAGGCAACAGGCAGCAGAGGCAGGGCAATCAGGGTGCAGGGCCAGCTGGAGTGATCTCCCCCCGCCCCACTTGATCGCCCTGCAGGTCATTCCACATGTTGGCCCTGATCGCTTGCCAGGCCTAGGGAACCTGCCAATGCACGAATTTCATGCATCAGGCCTCTAGAGAGAGAGAGATGTGTGTGTATGTGTGTGTGTGTGTATACATATATAATTATATATATATATATATATATACATATATATATATATATATATATATGTGTGTGTGTGTGTGTGTGTGTGTGTGTGTGTGTAATAGAAGTGTAATGATGAACATAATTTGAGGAATAAGGATAAATCGATGAATAAGAATAGACCCAGAGACAAAATGTAGGAGAGAGGGTGTTAGAGAGCTAACAAAGGACTTGTGTGCATGCATATTAGCATAATCAATGGACACAAACACTGGGGTGGTGGGGGCGTGCCCGGGGTGGGAATGGCTGGGGGGAAAGGTAGAACATGTAAAACTTTAGAGAATAAAAAAGTATATGTATAATATCCTGATTTGACTGGATGGCCTTCAGGACGTTCTTTCGAACGACCTTCCAAACGTAGCTGGGCTGCGAGGGAAGCCTGGCTCCAGGTGCCGGAGGGAAACCAGGGGAAGGAAGGCCTACTCCTGCATGGATTTCGTGCATCAGGCCTCCAGTGAGTGTGTGTGTGTGTGAGAGAGAGACAGAGAGAGAAAAGAGCCACTGGTGAGAGTTGGAAAACAAGCTGACTAGAAAAAGCTGGTGGGAAAGCTGGGCACAGTGAAAGGCCCAGTTGAGGCTGATGACTGCTTGTTCACCAAAAAGACTTGGCGGGCACGTGACCCTCATCAGCAGTGCCCAGCAGCCTGGGGTGCAGGGACAGAAGAGGCAGATGTTTGGGCTCTTTTGCTGCTGTGGTTTTGCAAATTGGGGCACAACTAAAGGGCAAAAGGGAAAAAGTACAGGATGTTGGCAACAGAAAGAAATGGTGTCTCTCTACAGAAACAAAAAGGATGGCTGACATCCTCACATCTGAGGACAGAGTGGGGAGGCAGAACAAGGTCTACAGGCCACAGGGCCCAGTGGATGGTGTTATAGACAGTGTGTCCTCCCCCCTCTCTCCCATTTCTATGGTGAAGCCCTAAACCCCAGTGATAGGTAAAGATGGGCCTTGGGGAGGGAATTTGGGTTGGATGAGGTCATGAAGGGGGCCTTCCTGCTGAGCGTAGTGGCTTTCTAGGAAAGAGGGAGATCCTCACCCTCCATCCACACATAGGGGACAGACAGAGCACCATGAGAAGGTGGCTGCCTGCAAGCCAAGAAGAGGGCCCTTGCCAGAACCTGAACCTGCTGACGCCCTGACCTTGGACTTCCAGCCTCCAGAACTATGAGGAAATAAGTTACTGTTGAAAGCCACCCATCTATGGCACTGGGCGAATGTAAGGCCAGATCAGTGGGTTGGACTTGGTGGGGACGGTGTCAAAGTAGAGGAGGTGGCAGGGGAAGTGCGGGTGCCCTTAGCCTTGGACAGTGACACAGGAAACACAAGATGCACAGCTCAGGGGTCAATCTCAGGGGTCTCTCTGAGGAGGGTGGGCACTGAGCCTGGGAGCCAGAGGGCTCCTTCTGGGCAGAAGCCAAGGAAACTGGGGCGCTAACCCCTCCCTGACAGATGAGCGGGTGAGTGGGCAGTGAGTGAGGCACCATCCAGGGTGGCTGAGTCAGGGCCACGTGTGAGGACTCAGTCCAGCCCAGGGCCTGGCAGTGTCCGGAGGGTGGAGGGTGGCCCTCCTTTCCTATCTCTGTGGGTCCTGGGGGCAGACTGTGAAGCCCTCTGCCTTTCACACCAGCCAGGGCTGCCTAGATGAGTCCTTGTCGATTTGTGTGAAGGGACCTATAAAATCATTTGAAAACAGGAAGCCCGAGGCCTAGCGTAGGAGGGCTCCTGCACCAAGCCTGAGATGGGACCCCTGCACTAGCCTCCACAAAGCTGGCCAGAGCATGCATAGTGGGCCCACTGCTAGCGCGGCCCCAAATCTGGGCTGTTCTGGGCTCACCAACCGAGGGAGAACAACCCAGCCCAGGCCGCCCACGGCTCCTTGGGGTCGAGTCCACGTCAGGCTGCATGTCTTCCCTGGGTTCTCAGCTGCTGATCTCACACCAGCAAGCGCCCACAGACGAGCATCTTCCCATGGACCAGAGGAAGCCACGGGAAGAACACCTTTCACCCCGGGGCCCACAACCCCTAAAGAAACGAGTCTTCGAAGAGCTGTCTAGAGGCTATAGGTGAGTTTTGCATGTTGCTTGTGTCCGGAGAGGGCCCACGTAAGACTCTTCCAGGAACGGTTGCTGTGCCCGGAAAGGATGCAAGGGTCTGCATCGTGGAGCTGAGAACTGCCTTCTGCTTTGCGTCGGCCTGTCCCGGCTCCTCTCAGGTTTTTATTTCTCACCGTGGCAGTTTCAGCCTGGATGGCAGGCTGTGCCAAGAAGGACCGCTCAGTGTCCCCAAGGAAGGCTTTGGCTTGGGACTGATTCCATGAAGGTACCAAGCAGGAAGCGAACAGAACAGCCTGTCACTCCACAGCTGAGACCTGTGAGTGACAACCACCCAGGCTTGCTGGACGCCTCCATGCTGGCTTTACAAAGAGGAAAACTGGCCCAGCACCTACCACCTCTAGGCGCCTTAGAGATGGAGGGGGTCCGGCGAGCTATACCCTCCACAAGACTATCGGAGGACAAGTCACAACTAAGACCCTGGCCCAGAAGAGGGTGTTGGGGGTGGGGCGCAAGGGCTAAGAAAGGTGATGGAAGGAGAGAGGCCCTAGGAGTGGGTGTGGCAGTGGGAGCTGGTGCTGGAGTCGGGTCCTGGTGTGTTGTCTCCATCAGCAAAGCCAGTCTTGCTCGCAGGCCCCGCAGTGTCCAAGGAATGGGATCAGAAGGATGTGCTGCTCACAGAGGCCTCCCCTGGGCCGGGAGTCCTTCCTGAGGCCCCCGTTCCATTTTCTGCGGGCGCTGACTTCTTAGTCCTAGAGGGAGCAAAAGGCCATCGCTGGCTAACCCGGAAGTGGCTCCATAGCAGTGTTCCTCCTCAACCCTCCCCTGAATAGGGGGATCTAACCCCAAGGCCAGTCAGTTGTAGTTCCTAAAACCCCGTCATTGGTCTGTAAGTGACCGCGGACGGATGGTGAGGCAGAGGCGTGGGCTTTAGAGACAGGGCGCTGATGGGAAGCTGGGGTCTCGGGCTGCAGAGAAAGCAGGCTGCTCACCGCGGTGCGGGGTCCCGGTCCAGGTCCTGGATGGTGTCCTTCATGGCCTGGCCTCGTGTCTCGGGCAGCAGCGCGCAGAGTAAGCCTGCCCCAATGGGGAGGCTGCCGTAGATGACCATCGGGAGGGCCTCGTGGTAGTCACCCAGCAGCATCACCAGGGGCGTGAGGATGCCCGCGATCCTTGAGAAGATGGCCACCAGCCCCATGCCCGTCTGCCTGCGGGGAGGCCAGTGCCAGCTGGGGACCCGGCCTCAACGCCAGGCTGCAGTGCCAGCTCGGCACACTTCCTTGGGAGAGCCCAGACCCCCGAGTGGCCCCCACCAGGCTGCAGGGCCTCCAGGCTCATCCAGCCCTACCGTCTTTGGCCTCCTGAGAGTCCAAGGCTGCTGCCACCTCCAGGCCTCTCTGCCAGCGCTCCTGCCTGTCTATCCAGTTTCAGGGTGAAAGCTGCCCCTCCTGAGTACCCCTCCCATCATCTGACAGTTCCTTCTTCGGAACCATTCATTCTTTTTTGTTTTGTTTTGTGGGTTTTTTTTTTATTAAATATTTTATTGATTTTTTACAGAGAGGAAGGGAGAGGGACAGAGAGCTAGAAACATCAATGAGAGAGAAACATCCATCAGTTGCCTCCTGCACACCCCCCACTGGGGATGTGCCTGTAACCAAGGTACATGCCCTTGACCGGAATCGAACCTGGGACCCGTCAGTCCTCAGGCCGACCCTTCATCCACTGAGCCAAACCCATTTCGGTGGAGCCATTCATTTTTAGATGTAACCCATGGCGCAGCCTTGATGTGGCCGGAGCGTGGCTTCCTTCTCTCCCTGTCCTCCACCAGCCCTGGACAACTTGGGTCTGGACTATATTTATAGATACCCTGACTCCCACCCAGCACGGCTGCCCAGAGCCACCCCAAAAGCCATTTGTGGATGGCGGCGAGGGCAGAGGAGGGATGGCCGACATCAGGGTCTCGGGAGCAGAGGAGGGAGGGGAAGGGTGCCAGCAGCCCTTACCTGATGATGGTGGGGAAGAGCTCAGCAGAGTAGACGTAGGAGATGGTGAATCCAGCCGCCGTGGCAAACTTCCCCACGATGGCCAGCCCGGTGCCCACGACGGGCAGGTCTGGTGAAGGAGGCTGGTCAGCCAGACGGAGGGCAGCCAGCCCATCCCCTGGGCCCTGCTCCCCGCCGCATCCACCCGCACACTCAACCCCGGGGAAGCCCTCGTTCCGGAAAGAGAAGCCATGGGCCTCCGGGGAGAGCCAGGCCAGGCACCTGAGGGGACGAAGATGATGCTGATACACATGAGGCCTCCCAGAACCAGCGTCCCCATCTGGCTCCACCTGCGGCCGAACCACTGCATCATGAAGATGCTGGAGTAGCGGGCAGGCACCTCCACGGCTCCGAAGATCAGCTGCGTCAGGTAGATGTCCAGGCCAAAGTCCCCCACTTGGAGGCTCAGGCCAAAGTACCCCAGGCTGTCCACGAACCTACAAAGCACCCGAGGATCCCTGTCACCATCACACTCAGAGCGGGGGCCTGACTGGGCCGGAAGTCCCGCGGCAGAGCGGCACGGTCAGGGGGAGGCCCGGTCATTCCCGCACAGCCCACCCCCGCCAGAGAGCCCCTGTCCCGCATCCCCGGGACAGACGCCGGGGAGGGGCAGGGGTCCCAGCGCCCTCACCAGACGCAGAAGAGAATCAGGGTCACCTTCCGGAGCTGGGGGTGTCTGAACAGGTCCAGCGCATTCCCCGAGGGGCCTGCCTTCTCGGGGGCCAGCTGGGAGGAAGATTGCCGCGTGAGGGCCAGCCGGATGGCCTGGGGGGTCAGATCAGGGGCAGGAGCGGCCCTGCCCTGAGTACCTACCTGGCTCAGCAGCTCCGGGGAGAGTGTCCGCCCATTGACGGCGGCCGCCTTCTGGATGGCTCGTTTGGCCTCCTCGACCCTCCCCCGGGCCAGGAGCCAGCGGGCAGATTCCGGCAGAGCCCTGCAGGTCAGGAACAGGTGTGAGTGGGGGGCACGAAGTCCTAGAGCTCCCCCAGCACCCCAGAGCCTCCCTGGCCGTTCCAGTGTAGACAGAACCCCATATCCCGGGCAGAACCCCCCCCCCCCCCCGCCCCAGATGTGTCTCTGAGTGTCCCATGGGAGGAACGTGAGAGCACGCTGACCTAGCGTGCTTGCTCGGGGACGCGCCTCCTCACCAGAAGTAGAAGAAGAGCAGCAAGACGGGCGCGGCGCCGGCGATCTGAAAGAGCCGCCAGTTGCGGACGCCGTAGGCGAGCCCCGCCAGGGCCATCTGGCCCACGGAGAAGCTGCACTGGGCCAGGACCACGGCCTGGGTCCTCCGCGAGGGCCCCACCCACTCTGCAACTGTGAACGGAGACGCTGAGGCCGGGCCGGGCGCTGCCCTCCCGTCCCCATCGCCCCAGCGGCCACCCTGTCCGGGAGGGGCCTCAGTCCCAGCCCGGGAAGCACAGGGGTGACCCCTGTAGGGCTGGTCCCTGGCAAGGCCCCCAGAGGCAGTCTGGGAATGAGGCCAGTCCCCAGGGCCTCCCGCTGTGGCTAAGGCTGCAGGCCGGATGCTCACGCAGGGTGACGTTGGTCAAGGCATAGCCAGAGACGGCAGTAGCCACCGCAAAGCGCATGACCATGTAGAGCTCAAAGGTGGGCACAAACGCTGTGGCCAGGCCGATGATGGCGAAGAGCAGCAGCTGGATCAGGATGCTGGCTTTGCGGCCAATCCTACAGTATAGAGGGGACAGGGCACAGGTCAGGGGGAGGGGGGAGATCTCTGAGGGGAGGGGAGACCCAGCCCTGCCCTGGACTCTGTGTGTGTGTGTGGACACACAGTCCCACCCTGAGGTCCTTGTGCTGATGTCTAAAGCTCACTAGGGAAGGGATGGGTAGGGAAGGGATGAGTAGGGAAGGGATGGGTAGGGAAGGGGTGGGTAGGGAAGGGGTGGGTAGGGAAGGGGTGGGTAGGGAAGGGGTGGGTAGGGAAGGGGTGGGTAGGGAAGGGATGGGATAGGGAAGGGGTGGATAGGGAAGGGGTGGGCTAGGGAAGGGGTGGGCTCATCGGGGTTCTTACCAGTCGCAGAGGGGCCCAAAGATGAGCGCACCAATGAGGAGCCCGGCCATGTACACTGACTGTGAGGTCTCCTTCAGGTGCTTCTGATCACAAACCAAGTTGAACTGAGGCAGACACAGGCAGATATGAGTCCAGGGGCAGCTGGGGACAAGTGCTTTATCATCTGGGCCGCCCACTACGGATGGCTCACTGCAGTTGCCCTCGGTTCCCAAACTGTGTGTCAGGGTACCCCAGGGAACCTGAGTATAGCATGATATTTAAACTAGGGAAGGAAAATACAATAATACTTAACATCTGTCTGATATCACATAAACTACTAGCTCAGGATGGTTGTTTCACCATGAGATCACGCTACTTTCCTTTCAGTGGCGTCGCATCTATGGGAAGTTGTGCTTTTGGCCATTGCTGTGAGAAAAAGCAAGCCCCACGAGAAAATCTACGTGGCTCCGCACATGAGGGTGCTGGTGTTCAAGGATTGAGGCGGTGTGCCATTCCCAATAGGCCCAGGCATCCTGTTGGTAAGTCATTGTGTTTCTTTAAGAATGAAATAAAAATGTGCCCTTTTAACTTGTGTCTGATTTTTTAAAAACAGTTATTAAATTGTTAGAACATAAATGCTTAAGTTGTTTGCAGGGTTATGTATTTCTTGGCACCTATAGGTGCCCAGAGAAATTACCAACACACTAAGTAAGGATGCAGAGTCTGGGGGCCTCTGACAGAAGCACTGATTGCTGCTCCCCGACAAAGGGGGCCTCTTCCTCCCTGCCAGGAACCCCCTGTGACCCACCCGGGCCTCCAAGTCCTCACATCCAGAAGCAACCCCCCCACCCCCGCCAGAAGCTGTCCTCATTCACAGGCAGTCAGAATACTAAGGGGGAGGAGGTTAGGATGGAGGAGGAGAGCCAGCACATGCACACATGGTGGAGGAGGTGGGGGCAGTGCACCCGGAGACACACAGAGAACCTGACAGACAGACAGACAGACAGTCTGGAAACCCCCAGGAATAACATGCGTGTCCGTGGAATTCTGAACACATGTCTACTGAATGTGCCCACTCAGGAAGTCCATGTGACCACCCCTCACACACACACACACACACACACACACACACCCCGATCTGTGGGCCCCTCGGGGAGTTCTGTGCTCCCCGCACACAGTCTGACTCCGCACACATATGTCCTCTCAGCTTCACCTTCTTGGTGCCTGGGGCCCAGCTCACACAGCAGCTCCTTCAGAAGCTGCCCATCCCTCCTCAGGAGGAAGCAGCTTCCAGCCTCTGAGCCCAGCCACCCTTTCTCCCCGAGCAAGGAGCCCAGGTCTCCCCCTGAGCGCCAGGGGCAATCGCAGAAGGGGCAGGGTGCCTCCCGGTCTGACTGCTCCCCGCGGTTCATACGCAGGGACCTTGGGTTGAATGAAACTCCAGGACAGTCCTGCACCGGCTGTGAACAATGGCAAGCGGTGGCTTGAAGCCACTGGATGTTGGCCTGCGTTCAGGACGGTGCTGTCTGGCCGCCTGGCGGAGCTCATGAGCACGTGGAGAGGAGGCACACCCACAGCATCTGGGGCGGTGAAGGCCGGAACCTGGGGTGGGTGATGCTGGGGACGGGGGAGGCCAGTGAGGGGTGGGCTGGGCTAGCTGGGGAGTGCATGGGCTGCCTCCCCCCTGTGAGGGGGATGAGGCCAGGCAAAGACCAAAAAACACATCCTCAGGCGCCAGGGTTCTGGGGCAGGGTTCGGTGAGAGTTTGGGTAAAACACTGTTCTCTGAGAGCTTTAAGAAAGAAATATTTCTTACCCATTGGGGAAAAATAAATGGTTAATCTCTGGATTCCAGATTGTGTCCTCCCCGACGGCTCAGGTTTGCCACCATGAAGGTGAGAGCTGCGCTGATCATCTCATGGCTGCCCCCTCCCCGCCCCCGTCCGCCCCCCATCCCACTGCAGGGCACTTTCGGCAGGAGCCGCGTGGGTCCTAGGCCCAAGGCCAGTCCAGATGCCATCCTCCCCCAACTCTGAGACCCATCCCGCCATCTAGGAAGATATGCCGCCGTGGGCCAAGATGCTTCCCAAGGGCCTTCTTAATCAGAGGCAGCCGGAGGGGGGATCTTTAATTGCTCTCTGACTGGGTCCCTCCGGGAGAATGGACTGAGCAAGAACAACTGATCTGTACTCAACAGGACACGCCCTAGAGTCAGGGGCGTCCTCCGGCATCCCAGAGGTCCGCAGGAGGAGTTCGGAGAGAGAAACTAAAAGGTGGGAGGCCAAGGTAAGTGAGCAGGAAGGCAGATGAGCGCACAGGAAAGAGCAGCACTGGGAAACGCGGGAAGATGGGTACGCAGGGGCACACGCAGGCGCAGACTGAGAACAAGGGAGGGAAAGGGATACAGACAGAAAAACAGGAGGGGAGGGGAAGAAAGGCAGGCGATTGGGCAGACAGGCAGGACGGACAAAAGAACAGGCAAAAATGGACAGACAGATGGACGGGCAAAGAGACCAGACAGGAAATGGATGGAGAGGTAGCCGGGCCTAGCGGCAGAGGACAGAGAGAAAAACAGGGTAATTGGCAAAAAGTCTTTGTTAATCATTCAGGCAGAGGGGCAAGACAAAGGCAGCGACACCGGTGACTGAGGGCAAAGCATAAGGCCAAGGAAGTGGACAGGCAGCCCCAAAGGCAGCCTACCTCATTCTTCAGGGACAGGGGCCTGTTCTCAGGATACTCCCAGCCCGCCTCACAAGGCTGTGTCTCGTTGGAGCGGTGGCTGAGGATGTCCTCCAGGCTGGCGCCGTCGGGGGGCGGCCGGAACATGCGGCAGGGCTCGGGGTTGCCCGCGGCATCCAGGGGCACGCTCAGGTTCAGCCGCTCGGCAGCACTCAGGTTGAAGGTGAGGTTCTTGACCCAGGGCACCGAGCAGTGGTGGGGCTCCTCCAGGGTGATGAAGATCTGGCCAAAAAAATAGAAGGCGGACAGGAAGTTGGGGACAGTCAGCAGCAGCAGCAGCTGCACCTGAAAGCGACCGAAGCCGCCGATTTCAGCCAAGACCTCGGAAAACTGGGCCATGTCTATTGGCCAGCACGTCCGTCCTCAGCCCGAGGCCTGCAGAGAGCTCTGCACCTTGGCCCAGGGTTCCTGGCTCCTCTTGGCTGTGATAACGGCGGCATTAATGTTTAACCCAGCCGCGCTCAGCTGCACCTTCACACCTCAGCTCCCTGTCAAGGATAGAGGAGGATGGAAAAAATAGTCCACGGGGGCCTGCAGAATCAGAGGATATTTTATTAGATGCTGGCGTCAAAGAACCAAGGAAACCTCCCAGGCCCAGCACACAGGACAGGGCTTTACCCAAACATTATATAGTATACAGTACCACCACACCTCCATCAGCAGCCACATCCTGGACAACCCAGTTCAAACCTCTCTCATCACAACAGAATCCACATTCTGAGAGTAGCTGTGTAACTACTACTGTGTAACAGAAGTCCCTTTAGCCACCAGCCCATGCTAGCCGAGCAGGGTAAGCCAGGGGAGCTGCGAGGACCCAGCCTGCAGATGTATTACATCTGTCCATGGACCAGCCTAGCCTCTTGACTCATGATCATCTCCTCTCTCCTGTGGGTCCTGGTACCGGCGGTGTGTAACACCAGGCAATCCCAAGGCAGCACAGAGGTCAGGAGACCCACCAAGGGCATAAAAGCTTTTCATTTTCAGCAATGAAGACAATTCAAGACTAGCTAAGATTTGGAAACAGCCTAGGTGCCCGTCAGCAGATGACTGGATCAGAAAACTATGGTACATCGACACAATGGAATACTATGCTGCCATAAAAAGTAATTCTTACCATTTGCAGACACCTGGATGGAACTGGAGAGCATTATGCTAAGTGAAATAAGCCAGTCGATGAAAGAAAAATACCACATGATCTCAATCATCTGTGGATAATAAAAAACATTATAAACTGATGAACAAAAAGATAGATACAGAGGTAGTAAAGCATCAACAGATTGTCAAATTACAATGGGAAGGTTAACGAGAGGTGGGGGAGATAAGAGATCAACCGAAGGACTTATATGCATGTATATAAACATAACCAATGGACGCAAAACTCTGGGGGGGTGAGGGAATGTATGGGAGTGGGGTGGGGGGGCAATGGTAAGATATGTACACATATAATACCTTACTAAAAAAATGGAAAAAGAAAGAATAAAACAAAACAAAAAATTGAAAGCAATTATGGAGGAGCCAAGAGCTACATTTTGATCTCTACCCAATAAATCCATCACAAATACAATGCCAAGATTAAAAACAAATGCAAATGCCCAGAGTAGTCACAGCAATCCTAGTGACAGTCAAAGAACACAGGACAAAGTCTCTCCATCACAGGCCCCAGCTGTGGGGCTAACAAAGGCAGGACTTCGAAGAGGAACCTCCCAAAGATAAAGGCCCCCATCTTTTACCCCGGGGGAGAGGGGGGGAATCTTACCGATGAAGACCCAGGTTTTGGAAGGAGTCTAGTTTCAATCATGGGAGCTGGGGAATGATGGATTAAAGAGGACAGTAGGAAGAAAAAAGAATACATGCGTACATAGGCACACACATTCACATCTTTGCTGGTGTAAGCAACAGAAAGCCTTTGTATGTTTTCAATTCTGAACGACTTTAAGAGATAGGTAGAGGAATGTGGGTGAAAAGAATACGAGGAAGTCAGGTTGTACAGGAAGTCCTGGATACAATGTGCCTGCACCTATCTGGCCACCTGTCTGGCACAGCCTCAGGATGTCTGTTAACCAGTCAGCATGTAGAGCCCGTCAAGGCAGGGCAGACCGTGGAAAGCAGAGTAAGGGTACAGCCCTTTCCTCTCTACCGTCCATCCCAAACTCCCCAGCAGGCAGTGTCTCTCATGAACAGAGATGCTAAAAATCCTCAGCAAAATATCAGTAACTTGATTCCAACAATGTATGAAAAGAATATTATCCCTTGGCCCAGTGAGATTTATCCCAGGTATGCAACGCCGGTTCAGCATATGAACCATCAGCAGGCTTAGGAAGAACACGATCACATCAACAATGCAGAAAAAGCATTTGACAAAATCTGATACTATTCATGATAAAAACGCTCAGCAAACTAGGCCTACAGGTAATCTCAACGTGATAAGGAACGTGTACAAAAAGCCCACAACTAACATCATGTTTAATGATGAGAAACTAGAACCTTTTCAGCAACATGGCAGGGACATCTCCCCTCACCTGTGCTTTTCAACATTATACTGAACACCCTAGATAATTCAATAGAACAAGAAAAGAAAACCAATGATATACATATTGGGAAGGGAAAAAAACTGTCTTTATTTGCTGATGATGTGATTATCCATATGAAAAACCCAAAGGAATCAACATAATACTTCTAGAACTATTACTTCTAGAACTAATACATTATTAGAGTAAGGTTGCAGGATATAAGGTTAATACAGAAAAACTACCTTTTTCCTATCTACCAACAATAAACAAGTGGAGTTTGAAAAGAAAAACAGTCATTTACATTAGTACCCAAAAATGAAATCTATGTATATAAAGCCAAGCGACTAGAACACTGGAATGACCAGAATAACTGTTCGCTATGACGTGGCCAGCCAACCAGCCTGATTGAGGAGCAGCCCCTCTCCCAGCTGGCCCCAGCTGGGTTGAGGATGGAGCCAGCAAGCCAACCTTTTGTGGCCCCTCCTCCCCGATGGCCTGACCCGATCGGCCCCCATTGAGGCAGGGCAGCCGGATCCCACCTGTGCATGAATTTGTGCACTGGGCTTCTAGCACTGGTATAAAGCTAACAAACCATGTACAAAATCTGTATGAGGAAAACTACAAAACTCTGATGAAGAAAAATAAAAAAACTAAATAAAGGGAGAGATATTCTATGTTCATGGATAGAAAGACTCAATATTGTCAAGATGTCAGTTCTTCTCAACTTGATGTAGTAATTAAACACAATCTCAATAAAAGACCCAGCAAGTTATTTTTTGAAAACTGACAAGCTGATTCTAAAGTTTATGGAGAAAGGCCAAAGAGCCAAAATAGCCAACACAATACTGAAGAAGAACTAAGTCAGAGGACTCTCAATTCTTGACATTCAGACTTACTATAAAGTTACAATACTTTAGACATATGGTATTAGCAAAAGAATAGACATATAGATCATTGGAACATAATACAGATCTTAGAAATTGACTTACAGATTTAACTGATCTTTGACAAAAGAACAAAGGCAAAATAAAGGTAGTCTTTTCAATAAATGGTGGTGAAACAAATGGACATCCAAAGGAAAAAAATAAAAATAAAAAATCTAGACATAGGCCTATATTCCTCAAAAAAATCAATTCAAAATGGATCATAGACCAGAATGCAAACTGCAAAATTATACAACTCTTAGAAGATGACATATGCAAAAAATCTACACATTGGGTGTGGTAATGACCTCTTAGATACAACATCAAAAGCATAATCCATGAAAGAAATAATTGATAAGCTGGACTTCATTTAAATTAAAACCTTCAGCTCTGCAAAAAACACTCTTAGGAGAATGAGAAGACATGCCACAGACTGGAAAACAGTATTTGCAAAATAGATATCTGATAAAGATCCATTATCCAAAATAGCCAAGAATTCCTTAAAGTGAACAATAAGCAAATGAACAACCTGGTTAAAAATGGGCTTAAAACCTTAATAGGCACCTCACCAAAGAATATATTCAGCCCTCGCTGGTTTGGCTGGGTGGATAGAGCGTCCGAGGTTTGATTCTAGTTGGGGGCACATGCCGAGGTTTGATTCTAGTTAGGGGCACATGCCTAGGTTATGGGACTGATCCCCAATGTGGGCCCGATCCTCAGTGGGGGGTGAACAGGAGGCAGCTGATCTATGATTCTCTTTCATCATTGTTGTTTCTCTCTCTCTCTCCTATTCCTTGCTCTCTGAAATCAATATATATATATATATATATATATATATATATATATACACACACACACACATATATATAATTTTTTTAAAGAACATATTCAGATAGCAAATAAGCAAATAAAAAGATGTTCAAGACTGTCATTAGGGAATTAATTGCAAATTAAAAGGTGATACCATTACACACATGTATGAGGACAAAACTATATTCACTGGTGAGAATATAAAATGGTATAGCCACTTTGGAAGACAGCTGGTGACTTCTCACAAAACTAGACATACTCTTTCTTACCACACAGTCCACACCTGGGATCCTTGATATTTACCCAAAGGAATTGAAAATTTATATCCACACAAAATGAATGTTCATTGCAGTTTATCCATAACTGCCCAGTCTTAGAAGCAACCAGTAGGTGAATGGATTAAAACACTGTGACACATCCAGACATGGAACATTATTTAGTGCTAAAAATAAATGGGCTAACAAGCCATGAAAAGACATGGAGAAACCTTAAATGCATATGACTAGGTGAAGGAAGTCATTCTGAAAAGGCTAAATACTGCATGATCCTAACAATATGACATTCTGGAAAAGGCAAAAGTATGGAAACAGTATAAAGATCACCAGTTGCCAGGGACTAGAGGGGGGAGAGGAATGAACAGGCAGAACACAGAGGATTTCAGGGCAGTGAAACTATTCTGTACAATACGGTAAAGATCAATACATGTCTATACATTTGTCTAAACCCACTGAATGCACAACAGAAAGAGTGAATCTGGACTTTTGAGTGACAGTAACTTATAATGTAGGTTCATCGACTGCAATAAATGTACTACTCTGGGGCAGGATGTTGGTAGTGGGGAAGTCTGTGCATGTATGGATTCAGGGAGTCTATGGGAACGCTATACTTTCTCTTCAATTTTGCTATGAAACTAAAACTTTCTAAAAAATAAAGGGGTATATGAGATGGCCCAAAGAAAACATCTGTAAATGGCTGCACTGGTCATCACTGCTCTCTCTTGACAAGATCTGACCATGTCAGAGAGAAGGGGTGAGTGGAGGGGTGCTGCTCTTGCTGTGCCCGTCCCACATGCACCACAGACTGGAATAATAATAGTTAGAGTCCACTCTAATGGCCTGCTTATCTTAAAAGCAAACTCAATCAGATCTGATACTGCCAATTCCAGGACTTGAGTTCTAGATTACCAAGATCCACAAGCAGTCCTATCATTGGTCAAAGGCTACCCTCCTGGGAAGAGATTATGCTCAGGGAGATTACTTATCCAGGAGGTAGAGGAATAGAGGGGCCTAGAATCTTCTATAAAACCCCCACCATTGCAATACGAGGGTATCAAAGCCAAATGGAGACAAGTTCAGCCCTGCTCTGAACTTTCCAAAAGGAACTCCCAAGAACTTAAATCAAGCACCTTGCCCTTGTCCATATCCACAAGTAGAATCAGTCTGAACAGATCCGTATACGGAGTTCTCTAACCCATTCTGCCAAATTTCTTTAGGTGGATCCTCTCTCTCTCCCCCCATTTGGGATTTCAGTTTTCCCATGTTTACAAAGATTTTGCAGATCACACACATTGGTTTTTGAGTTTTTAAAAATATATATTTTATTGACTTTTTACAGAGAGGAAGAGAGAGGGATAGAAAGCTAGAAACATCGATGAGAGAGAAACATTGACCAGTTGCCTCCTGCACACCCCCCACCAGGGATGTGCCCGCAACCAAGGTACATGCCCTTGACCAGAATCGAACCCAGCACCCTTCAGTCCGCAGGCCGATGCTCTATCCACTGAGCCAAACCAGTTTCAGCAGATCACACACATTGTTCAACGTTTATGTGCACTTTTGCTTTTCTGCATTTGGGAAAAAAAATTATAGTAGAGACTTGCTGACTCACTCCCCATCCCCATCCCTCCCCACACACACACTCACCGTCACTAAAATAAAGATTCCACCACAGACAATTTACTCTTTATTGATTAAAAATGAAGAAAACATGCAGCAAAATACAAAGTCAAAAAAAAGGGGGGTGAGTCAAATATTTTACATCTTCCATAATCTAGCACACGTTGTAAGGAGGAACCTCCATTTATTGATACACTATTATTCTATCCTCCAGATTATTAAACAGTATCAGCTGGCTCTAGGATTTGGTTCGAAACTGAAGCAAAAAACCCAAACAAATCCAATAGTCATTTAGCAACACCATACATTTCACCAACAACATTGGCACAGGTTACCTTGTGCTCAAGTCAGTCCCTACCACAGGGATTAGGGAATCCTGGGGACCTCAGGAAAGGGGTGCACCTTGAACCACCCACCACTCCGGGAAAGGAGCGAGGTCTCTCCCTAGGTCACGTGCTGTCCCACCTGGGAAGGTTCTGTTCACTATTTTCTCAGCATCACTGTGCAAGACAGCAAAGGGTGTTCACCATACAGCATGCAGAAGAACTACCACTGTCCTGCAGCTTGGTGACTCCTAATTCCCAGCAGGGCAAACGATGAACCGGAAGAGAACGCCCCGGCCACTTCTATTGCCGTGCTTGTCCCACTGCCGTCCACCGGTAATGGCTGGCTGAGACACTGAGCAGGAGGATGGGCTGCCGCTTACCCCCGGCCTGGGCTTTCACCGCCTACAAACACAAAGCTGCAACAGTGATGCCACACCCTTTGGACTGATAAATAAGTAGATTATGATGGGCTTATTGGACACCAAAACACTGTCTCTAGGTAAGCTACTAGTCTTGCGCCAAAGAGGACACTACCTCTTTTTCAAACTTATTCCTACCTCCCTATCTTTATTCCTTCTACCTGAATCTAAAAAAAAATAAATACATTAAAAAAAGAAAAAGAAAAATGGAAATATTTTCCCAGTAAGCTGATCAACCTTCTTTCCTCTCCCCAGACTCAGCAGGCTCCCTCCCACTAACAATCCTGCTTGGACCATGGACTTTGGTGTCTGATCTGTAATCTACATTTTTTCCAACTCCCGTCTCAAACCCATCTTCTCTCCTCCTCCCCGACATCTGCCCCTTTCCCAACATGCCTTTGCCTCCAGGTAGGCTAAGAAAGCCTGTGGCTAAAACTACAAGCTCCGGCTGAGACCAGAACGGTGACAAGTCACCTGTAGGGAGAGCCTTGAGATGCTCCAAGAGAAAATCAATCTTGCTACTCACAGACCAACAATGCTGGATGGGCTGGACCATCCCTAAGAGGCAGCTCTCCCCTCTTCCGGGCCAAAACCCCGCTGTATGTGTGGTGGTAAGGCCAGATTGAGGATCCCTTTCACATACAAAACGTGTTAGAGCTCTTTGCAGTTAGACAAAGGCTGACTGTGAAACATAGGGGTGGGAAAAAAAATCAACCCCATTGATTATTCACAAATTGCATTTTGAGTGCTCTTTTTTAAAACCTAAAGAATAATTTACATTATTTCTGTAGAAAATCAAATGAATACTGTCTAGTCAGAAGTCCTAAGTCACGGCACATGTGGTTTCACTCTCCGCCTTGGGCCAGGCTCAGTGCACTGCGGTGGGGACGCCCTCCGGAGGGTCAGTGCAGGCGCGGGGGCAGAGGCAGGCCTCCCGCCGTGTGGTCTCCGTTATTGCTGTAGAAACCTCAGCCTTGCGTTTCCTCGGGACTGGAAGGCCAGGTGAACTGATTTTCATGGGAGGATGGAGGAGCGGTTTTTCTTCCATTTGATTTCTTAAATTTGGAAAATAAATAACTTCCACAATGATATGAGTTATGAATTTTTTTTTTTCTGCCCAAACACCGCTGCTGGGAAAATTCACTTTTAACAAGCCAATACTTGATATTTTCTCTAAAAACAGTTCAAAGTTCCGCTTTGAAGGATCCGATGGCTGAAGTTGGACGACAGTCAGATGTTTTGCACCAGCTGAAGTTAAGGCGAGCAACCCTTTCTGGAGGGAACGATGAAGAGGGTGCCTGAGAGCAGCTTCAGCAAAACGCTTAGAAACATCACGAACAAAACTAGAAGACAGTGTAGGCTGCCTCCAGCTGAGGCTGTGCTTTTTCCTAACAGAGGTTGCTAGAATTCACATCAGATTAAAATAAAATCCCTAAATTAAACTCTCTGGGCTCCAGCTGAACAATCAACTTGTAATCGCTACGTCAGTGGGTAAAGAGACATCTCCCAAGGTGCCCACATCCGGGCAGGTGTGGGAAAAGAGGCAGCACGAGGAAGCCCAATACAGCTGCTGCTTTCCACCCAGCGCCATCCATGGAGTAAGGCAAGATGAGCTGAAAGATCTCCTCCTGGCTGAGGCACGCGGCCACTCTCGGATGGAGGAAGGGTAGGGGACGTGTGAGTTTACTAACGGAGCTCTGTAAAGGGATGCTGGCCACTAGTGACCCAGCTTTTCTTTCCCTGTGGGAAAGGGGGAATGATGGCAGGACGAACACAAAGAAAGACCTCTAAGACTCCTAGCCGGGACGTTTGTTTGTGGCTGGGTTCTTTGGCAGTAGTGGGTGTAAGCCAACAGAAGTAACAGAGATATGCACGTGTGGAATCTTCTGAGGCCTCCTCATCCAGGGCTGGGATTTAGCTGATGCTGAGCTGGGCAAATCCTATTAGTTTACCATCATCGGGAATATCCGAGCCTTCGACGCCAGATGCCTAAAGAACCAAACAAAATGAGAGGCTGTGGCTATTGATGAACAAAGTACAGGTAGCAATTAAAACTGAGATGGGCGCTGTGGGAACGCAGGCAGTCGGGGTCGGTCCGTGGGATACAACAGGAGGCAGATGAAAGGATGGGGCTGGAGTCAAATTAGCTCCGGGTCTCTCCTGAGCACAGTCAAGGGCCTGGGGTGGGAGGTGTCCTGGGAGGGCAGAGAAAGAGGGGGCCACTCAAAGGGAGACTTCAGGGCCTTGGGGGTGGCTAAATAAACACAGTCCGCGATATTCTAAAATTCTCATCACCCAGCCCTGGCCAGTGTAGCTTAGTTGGTTGAGCGTTATCCTGTACATTGAAAGGTCACCGGTTCAATTCCCAGTCAGGGCACATGCCCAGGTTGAGGGCACCATCCCCTGTCGGGGTATATGCAGGAGGCAGCTGATTGATGCTTCTCTTTCACATCGATGTTTTTCCTCTCTCCTCTTTCCCTTTCCCTTCCTCTCTCTAAAATCAATAAAAACAAGTTTAAATAAATAAATAAATAAAAGTAAAATTCTCATCACCCCGAGAATATGGCAGCTGGTCTGCAGGGGCTACTGGTGTGTAAAAAGGAAGGTGGCTTAATAAGGAGGAGGAGACGAATACCAGTTTGAAAGTGACAGATCGATTCGACTGAGGTTCTTCCACAATTTTCTGCAAATTAGCTGCCACTGTAATCAAACGAACAGAAAAAGTAATTAGCTTAATCAATCCATTTTCAACCAAATTTTAAGAACTTAAATGGTAGTTTTTAATCTTCTACATACAATTAAAATGGAAGCAGGAAGTTTCATCACTCCCCGAAGGAAAGTATCTTTTAAACTCAACTCCAAGCAGCACCAATGAATCTCAAATCACTGTCAAATGAACTTTCTTTAAGATGCTGTATTCACTTAGGAAAGACATTCGGGTGCAATAGGAATGATGTCTGCCTATTCAAACTATGCCCATGGCCTGTTTCTCTTCTGCCTGTGAGCTAAGAATGGTTTAAAAAAGAGAGACTGTACATGACCCACAAAGCCTGCACTATTACTGGCTGGCCCTTTACAGAAAGCCTTTGCTGATTTGCCCTACAATTGGTCTTTCCTTCAGTAATCTGTACCTATGGCCTGACTGCATTTCCTTACTGCCTGCTTTTTCTAGGACTAACTCTAAAGATTTCTGCTTACCTCTTAGCTCCACAAGGGTAGCGCTCATCCTCCAAAACGGATTAGACCTGGCCAAGCTTACTTTAACTTGCAATCTGTGTCATCACTTCTACCAGTCTCCCAGCGACCTGGGTGGGCTTTTCACTATCACCAAAGGCCACAAAGCAAACTCAGGAGTGAACTCTTCTTTTTTGTAAGGATCTGTCCCCAATACTTGTTATTTCAGCCAAGCCAAGAACCACTGATATGCTCAATGGAATCAAAGCCTGGTTTTCTTGGTCCTAAGTACACAGACAGAGACAGGAGGACAGGGCGGAGCGGAGTGGAGTTACCTATGACCAAATCCCTTCCATCGACCAGGCCGGCAGAGATGAGTTCCTGGGAGACGCCCTCCGCTGTATCTGCAAGGACAAAGCAGAGGGGCTCCGTTTCTCATGCTGACGTCACTGCTAACTCTCCGGGCACTGCCAGAATTCAGATCTAAATCTACAGAACCAAGAAGGTAAGGGTGGAGGTCTTCCGCCCCCACATGTAGGTTTAACCACTGAGATGATCTCAGCTGAGGAATTCTCACAGGTCTAGCTAGAGGGCCAAACCAATACAACCAGACAGTGAATGTGAGTTCAAGGTAAAGATAATTTTCTCAGTAATGGCGTCATTTCATTGGGAGCACCTGACAGGAATGCTGCTGAGGAACCTCCTGGCCCACGGGCAGCCCTGGCCTGTGCCTCCTGAGCTCCGAGACACGATGGCGAACCTGCAACATCCCTAGAGCTAATAAAACAGATATTTTTTCTCTCTCTCAATTAAATCTTGGGGGGAAAATGCAATATCTTGTTTTTGGGATCACACTCCCATATTTTTGCTGAAATCTTTTATAATGATGATGATGATGGGCTTTTCTTCATAGCTAATTATTTTGGGTGCTATAATCTGAGCAATTGTAATGAGAAACTAAAAAGATGGAGAGAGGGTCTCCCAATTACCTCACCCCCAACTGAGTCAGTGATGCTCTCACCCAAGGGCTGAACCCTGAGCCCCTCAGAGGCGACGGGAGGACCTTGGGAGGGATGTGCACACACCTGTGCAGATGACCAGCAATATGAATTAGTTCTTGAGTATGTGACTCTGCCTGGTTTTTAAAAAGTAGAGCGACTACCGCTCTGTGCATCTGCATCTACGTTCTTCATAGTTAGTCACTGATATGAGGCAGCAAGAAGGTTAAACGTGGCACAAGGGACAGGTATCTGTTTGCTGCTGGCCACTCCCCAAATCTGAACCCTGAGTGACAAAGGCAATAAGCCATGTTCTAGGGTGAAGTTCATGGCCAGAAACTCTGCACGACAAGCTCAATTTCAGCCCTGGGAGAGATGAGCCTAGAAGCCTCGTTTTTTTCTTTATTGTCAGGAGGATAGCCATGTCCAGTGATAAGAGCAAGAACTTTGCCTCTGACAGATCTGGGTTTGAATTCCAGCTACGCCTCTTCCCAGCCAAGTTATTTCACCTGTCTCTTGATTTCATTATCCATACAATGTGGGCAGTAAACTTTGTAGGGAGTTGTTTTGAGAATTTAAGGAGATAATGTACATTATCAGAGCACAAGTCTGGCCAACAGTAACAGTAAATGAGAACTATACTAAATACTGTTCGTTTTATACAGATGACCACTGAACAACATGGGGTAAGGGGAGGGGCTCTGCCCACCAGTGCAGTGGGAAATTCTGGACTATCCCCACAACTTAACTACTAATAGCCTACTGTTGACTGGAAGCCTTACCAATAACATAAACAGAGAAGTAATACATATTTTGTATGTAACATGTATTATATGCTGCAGTTTAAAATAAAGTAGAGAAAATAAAATGTTATTAAGAAAATTATAAGGAAGACAAAATGCATTTACAGTATTGACTGAAAAATCTCTGCATGAACCACTCACACAGTTCAAACCCATGCTATGCAGGGGTCACCTGCACTAGATTTCCTAAGTGACGTTGGTAGAAACAGAGTACATTATTTTATTCATATACCCCAAACCCTTTTAAATCAGGAATGTTTTTTATCATCCTTTAACATAGCAAACATATTTCAAGGACAAAACTTCACAACACCTCTCACTAAACAAAGCAGCAGCTGTTTTATTTCCCGTTTTTTGATGACTCACCTCTCCCAGGAGTAAATTCGAATCGAATATCATTTAGTTCTTTTTTGGAATTCCTATAAAAAAGCAGAATGTATGAAATCATTTCTGAATTTATGCACACAGACTCTGTCAACATATATAAGGAAAGCTGTGCCTCAAGACTGTCGTGTTCCCAAAGCTCACATGATTAGTCCTAATGAGATGAGAAAAAAAAAACAGAAGTAAGTTTTAATGGGGGAGGATTTGGGCAGCCCAAGGAGATGGGAAAACAGCTGGGCCCACCCATATAGGCAAAGAGTTAACACATGACTCCACAGATTCTAATATGTGGCTGGCAAGGAAGGTTACACACACCACGTATGCTGTACACTGAAATTAACCAGGTTCCCTGGGTGTTCTGGTTAAAGGTGGAGAAATTAGAACATTATGTCAACGGCAGATATGTCTGATCACTTAGGACCCAAAACCATTTTATCTAAACAATGCAGAGGGCTTAAGGCTATTTGACAAATACTTGAGGAGTTTCCTGAAATTGTGCTTAAAATACAGCTACTCATCTCCAACACAGCCTGCCCCACATGATTTCATCCCATGCACCGCCTTCTCCGCACCCGGCATCCAGCTTACACTCCACATGTATACTATCTGAAATCTGTTTTTAGCTATGTGAGTACATAATCCAAAGCAACTTCCAACCCAGACTTGATGATCAAGTCAGGCATTTCATTTTCTCTTTTCTTCATATTCTTCCTCAGTAGCTAAGAGTGCTATATATATATAGTCTGTTGGCTGCATAATTGTTCAGTCTATTCTTTCTGAAAGCTGATTCAAAGCAGACCAAACATTTAGCAGCACTAGTGATTTAACTGACACGTCAAGCACCAACACCTTTAAAGACAGTAATATGCTCTGATCTAAAACTCTTTTGTCATTTAACCTCAAAGCCTCCATCAGAGAGAATAAGACTCTAGCCCCCTCTTCCATAAACAGGACTACAACACAGTCCATTAAAAAACCTAATTGCATCACTTACGAGTATCTTCACCTTCCTGAAGCACGTGTCAAATAGAAGTTTTTGTACTGTCACTGACTGCTATAAGGCAGCATAACAAATTTTCAAAAAGAGACAAGTGGTACTCTCTAAATACAATTAAAATAGGGTGAGATTACTAAGACACTCTATTAATTCAGAACTATTTGAGATGAGAGAGGGTACACTGAGAAGACTTCTGTAAAGAAAAGGTAACCAGATCTGCTTTCCTCACATTTGTGGCATCATTTCATTGCTCCGAGTGGTAAAATCAAAACATTCTCCACACAGCTCTTGCTGCTTCTATCTCTAATTATGGTCATACCAAGAGGATGACTAGGAATTCATATGTGGAAGGAGGAATGAGTCAATATCACTTAGTGAAAATCTTTTAAAATTGTACTGGTACAGTTTAAGAAGGCCTGAGCCATCTCACGTGATGCTTCTAAAACTAAATAGTTTTCCGCCCTGGCCAGGTAGCTCAGTGGGTCAGAGTGTCATCCTAATGCACCAGGTTGCAGGTTCAGTCTCCAGTCAGGGTACCTACAGGAATCAACTAATGAATGTATAAATAAGTGGAACCAGAAAAAACCCTCTCTCTTTCTCCCCCCACCCCCAATCAATAAATACAGACACTTTTAAAAAGTGCACTTATGAGTAGAAAGTGACTTTATAGCAACACAACATTCACAGCTATTCGTATAAGAATGCTCTGGAATCCTAATCCAACTACCTGCAAAGGGAGAGAGGATTAAAATGAACAGCTCGGCCGGGACCGGTTTGGCTCAATGGATAGAGCGTCGGCTTGGGGACTGAAGGGTCCCGGGTTCGATTCCGGTCAAGGGCATGTACCTTGGTTGCGGGCATATCCCCAGTGGGGGGTGTGCAAGAGGCAGCTGATCGATGACTCTCTCTCATCGATGTTTCTAACTCTCTATCTCTCTCCCTTCCTCTCTGTACAAAATCAATAAAATATATTTAAAAAAAAAAAAAAAAAAAAAAATGAACAGCTCGCCACCGTGGCACTTGCTGCGAGCAATCTGTCCCAGCCCCACCAAGAAGCACCAATTTAGCGCTCTTGCTGTAAAAGACAGAAACAGACAAAACTGCACACGCAGACGTTTCCCCTTCGTTTTAAGAAGAAGGCCTTTATTTGCTCTATCGCAGTCAGGAAGCACCCACTCTTGGGTTAGTTGATCTCAGAGCCCATGGTATTTATATGGTCACAATTACAAGACTAATTTTCAGATAAGCCCACTTAGTGCTACTCCCCAAAACACTGTTCCTCAATTAAAGGTCATCTTCCTAATCTAAGCTACCTACATTGCAAATGCACAATTAGTGGAGAAACAACTAAGACAAGGTACCAGTTCTCTGTTAACATCCAGGTCCTCACCCTGCTCCTAAGATTTCAGAGGGAAATGATACACCTGCGAGCAGATGCACCCGATGCCGGAGGACACGCACGGCCTATCCGGTTACTCTTGGGCACAGGCTATTGGAACAAGGAGTAACTTTCGAAGAGAAAAGAGCGTGTTCAGAGTATTCAGAAGACAAAACAAAACAAAAACGTCGACTGACCTTAATCTTAGTACTAGGCTGATGGGGATCTTGGTTTCTTGTGAACCTGCTCCTGAAGACAGAGCCTAAAAAGCATTGAAAGGTAGAGAGTCACTGCCTGGACTACTCAGCATGGAGGTGACTACTGCTCATCTGCAGGGGAATCGCCCACTTGGCAGCGAGTTTCTCCATCTCCAGGTGAGGCCGTTCTGGTCCCTAGGACATTCCCTGCTGTGGGGGGACACGCACTCCAAGGCGGCAGTGAGAGCTGCATGCCGCCTGGGTCAACACAGTGAGAAAGGTAATTCTCAAACCCACATGAAAGGATACGCACAGCCACTTCAGATTTTGCACCTTTTCAGATCTGCTTCTCTCTACAAGGGTGAAAAGCATCAAGCTGGGTTCTTCCCTTTAAAAAATCTGCCAGTGTGTCATATGGCAACACACAGGTAGGGTAAACTGGCTGCCCCCCAACCTGGAGGCTTCAGGTCTCTTAATGGCTAAACCAATCCTTTCTGAAACCTGACAGCCATCTCTTGCTTACACATCCTATTTAAGCTGTTTATAAAGTTAATCCAATCTTTGCATCAGTTTTCCTAGGACAACTCTATCTTTTCCCATATGATGGGCAGAAATGGAAAGCCTGGGTGAGGAGGAGGTTCCAGGAAGTTAGCCCCGTGATGAACTGGTATTGCTCAGTGGTCTCCAAAGGCAGACCAGAGGGGGAAAATCACAACTCCCATTTTTATTTCTCTCCATCTAAAATGTTAGAAACAAAAAAGAGAAACCTCTAATATATAATGAGTGAATAGACTCTGAAACCCTTACTCTAACCACGGAGCATAAACCCCATGTTATAGACAGTATTTGAGGTTCCTTGAGAAAGGAATGGGAGTTACTCAGCCTGGGGGGTCCAATGGGGCCCTCATCCCAACCGCCGCTGCTGCTTTCATAAGTCTGTGTGCTCTGGTTTATGTAGATATACAGATTACATTCCCTTGTTTTAATAAAATCAACCCTCATAAAACTGACAAATACCTTAAAAAGAATAATACTGGAAAAATCACGGATCGTAGACAGTATTAATAAATAACACAAACATAAGTGAACAAAAAGAGAACAGTTGACAATTTTCCTAGTGTCAAGATAACTGTCAGCTGCATTCTGAAGTTAAACATAATAAGGATCTAATAAAAAGCTAAGCTGACAAGAACATTAACCCCAAATTTTGATGTCTGAAATATTTCCAGTTAACTTTATTATTTGCTTAAAAACCTGTGTGATCTTTATAAAACTCTCTTATCTGCATACATTTAAAACTAGGGGAAAAGAATTCAAACTTGTTTCAAAATCTACCAAGATACTGACTTTATTATCGTATATTAGGTGGTGTCCCCATTCCTCTCTGCTTTTACATCTTCCCAGAGGCTAACCACTAATGCATGCCCCGGCTTTACCTGAGCTGTTTTTCCTGGCTCTGCAGGGGGTGGGAGAGAGACTTGAGTTGGCTGTGCAGGCGTCTGCCCAGCTGGCTGAGGTAGATGAGCAGAAATCTCTTCTGGAACTTGAAGTAAAGTGCTCACGGGATCTGTTGTTGGAAACAGCTGTAACAAAAGCACATTGAAAGGAGAACCTTGAATAATGTTTCATTCATCGCAATTAAGCAAGGTTGTCTAAACCTCAAAAACAATGCATTCTTTTGTGTCTGGCTTCTTTCACGCCATACTATAGTTTGTTTGTTCAGTGATGCTGCAGCATATATGAGTAGTTCACTTTCTTCTTCTGCAATAAAGCAATTCAGTGTACCATATTTACTCTTAACTAATTCTATATTTTGCGCCATTTGCCCAGCAAAATAGCACATTCAAAATCAGATTTAAGTATGCAATACAAAATTATACAAGCTACATTTTTCTACATCTAGGGGCTTTCCATTACTTATAAAAATAATCAACCAATAATTCCTTAACAAAGATGAAATGCTTTTCAAAATGGATATGAAACTTTATGATTAACAGATATCATATATATTATTTTGCATTTTTGAAATATTTCTATATTTTAATTATATAACTTGGAGAAGAAAATTTAGTGAAAAGAAATCAAATTTAGAATTAAAAGAGAAAAAATAATTAGACGAACAAGAAGAGAGGGCTAACAGCTTATAATATATATAAGCAAAATCAAGGACACCAAAAAGTAAAATTTTGTGTTCATTCAGCTTCATATATTGTAGAAGAAATCAAAAGCTACTTATTGGTTCTGAATTTTGATAGAAAAACAGAACTTCAAGATTAGTTTTCAAAATGTTAATATGATTATTAACACTTTTCAAAATGAAGCATGTACATGTATGTTTACCAAAAATAGAGACAGAAACAGAGTAATGAGAGAATGAGGAGAATGTGCATTGCAGGTAGGATGTAAAACAGTGCAACTACTAGGGAAAACGGTTCCTCAAAAAACTTAAAAACAGAATGATCATAGGATCTAACGATTCCCTTCTGCGTACAGACCCGAAAGAATTGAAAGCAGGGACTTCAACAGGTATTTGTGCAGCCATTTTCTTTTTCTTTTTTCTCTCTCTTTTTTTTTAAATATATTTTATTGATTTTGTACAGAGAGGAAGGGAGAGAGATAGAGAGCTAGAAACATCGATGAGAGAGAGTCATCGATCAGCTGCCTCTTGCACACCCCCTACTGGGGATATGCCTGCAAACAAGGTACATGTCCTTGACCGGAATCGAACCCAGGTCCCTTCAGTCCCCAAGCCGACGTTCTATCCATTGAGCCAAACCGGTCTAGGCTGTGCAGCCATTTTCATAGGAATTTTGTTAACAACAGTCAAAAGATAGAAGTAATCCAAGTGTTACCAACAGATGAATGGATAAACAAATGTCGTATATACATACACTGGAATATTATTCAGCCTTAAAAAGGAAGGAAGAAAATTCTGATTCATGTTAATATATAACACTCAGAGCATTGCGATAAGTGAAATAAGCCCATCACAAAAAGACAAGTACTGTGTGATTCCACTTATATGAGGTTTCTAGAGTAGTCAAGTTTAGAGACATAAAGTAGAATGGTGGTTGCCAGCAGCTGGGAGGAGGAGAGAATGAACAGCTGCTGGGCACAGAGTTTCAGTTTTGCAAGATGAAAAAAATTCTGGAGATGGATGGCGATGATGGTTGCATAACAGTGTGAATGTACTTAATGCCACTTAAAAATGATTAAGATGGTAAATTTTATGTTATGGGTATTTTAGCATAATTTAAAAATCAACAACTAAGTAGTGAGCATGAGAATGTAAATATGAGCATGGGAGAAGGCACAAGGAGAACACTAAAAAGAAAAACTGGATAATTTCTAAAATACCTCCTCATTCAATTTCAGAGAAACTAAAATTAGTCCAGGTAGGTTAAGTAAGAGACTAACAATCTTAAATTCTGTGTAATTACAAAATCATAAGTTATTTGTTGCACACACTTCCTTTCTACCTCTGCCAACAGAGGCTAAGTAGGCATCATCTTTATTCAGGGATGCAGGTCATGGTGGCAGAGGCAGGGAACACTTCACTGGCCAAAGTAACTGCCACGGCCAAGCGTAACTTCCAGGGGCAGGGAAATGCAATTCTATGATATACCAAGAAGCCAGGAATCTTCATGAACAGTGGTTCTAACATAAACTGTCAAATATGGCCAGTTAAAATGCTGAAGTATAGTATTTCTTTCAGTCTTGAGTAATACACCACTATGTACACAAATCCTGTACATATCCGGTACCCAAATTGTATACTACATAAACTAAAAGAGTGGAAAAATAGTTACTTTTAAGCACAGGCAAGAACAAATTGGTTTAAGAGCAAGATGTGTTGCCAGCAAACCAAATATTGTGCTCAGGATGCAGACTTTGCCAGATGGAAGAATGTGTGACAGAAAGCACCTAAGAAACGATTATTCTCGTCAGGTAATGAGCATAAGGTAGCCGAGCTGGACAGGATTCTAGGATTCTCTACTACAGCGAGGCAGTAACCAGACAAGTGAATCTATTTAACAAGAGAAGAGGCTAGGAAAAAATCCAAAAACTAAGGTGGCATATACAAATTCCTGGCCAGGTTAATGCAAAAAGACTTCTTTACATTTCAAACAGCCCAAGCCCAACAAGTAATTCATAAAGCCAAGAAAGCAAGGCAGAACAGTCTGGGCCCTTCGGCCAACTTTTACAACGAGTGCAATGGCACCATTTTACTGCAGAGGTTGTCCATTCAAACGTAGAGTTGTTATCTCTGATCAAATTTGTCCTGTTTAGGTTCTCATTGCCAAGTGGACAGAGATAAAATACTAGAGGCCCGATGCACAAAATTCATGCTAGGGGCTCGGCCCTCACTGCGCCAGCAGCCCCGCTTTATCTGGAAGGTTGTCCAGACGGCCTTCAGAACGCTTGTTCTGCTGTTTGGTCTAATTAGCATATTAGCTCTTTACTATATAGGATTATATAGGATGTGCTTAACATTAAAACCAAACCCAAACAAAAGCCCATATACTTTAACAATTCAATAATCTCAACTACTTACCTCAGAACTTGATAATTCTTTCACTCGAGGAGACTAAAAGAAATACAAAAAAAGAAGGCTTGTTAACTCAAAACTCGGGTTACTCAGTCAGTTCCAAACTGCACAGAAGGCTGACTCGCAAGTGAATTCCATTTCATTCTGATCCACACATTAACTCACCGGCAACTCTAGTGAAAGTTCTCTGGAAAAAGAAAACTGTCGTGACTATTGTACTCTTTGTCCAGGTGGCCTGTACTTACGGTATCTGAAAAGCTCACAACTTGAAGTTTATAAACAAACATAATGAGACTGAGTTCTCAGCAGGAAGGTCACATTTTTCAAAGCACAACTTTCTACTAATTATGAACATATTATGTGTGTAAGATACCAGACCAAATGTCAACTTTCAAGCTAATATTTAATAATTCTCAACACAGGGTAATTATGATAATGGGCTTTCATGAAGAAAACTCTTGAGCCAAAATTGGAAAACCAATTATAATCTACCATATGAAAATCTAAGCTAAAGTTATTTAATAAATCAAAACAGTTAGTAGTAATTCTGGATACTATTGGGGAATAAATTTTTTTTTATCTCTAAACAAATACCAATTTATGGTAAATTCTACCAAATATGGATTTAGACTACTTAAAAACTACTTAAACTACTTAGACTACTTAAACTACTTAAAAACTCAGTTTGGGTTTGTTTTAAAATTCTCATCACCATTTTATTAAAGAGAATCTAGGTTTAGGTAACAGCTAATGTATCTCAGCAAGTATATGGCCAATCTTAAACCTAGTTAAAAAAAAAAACCACACACACACAACTTAATATTTGGAAAAAATGTCACTTACATAAAGAACAATACAAAAAACACCAGTGTACCCTTCACCCAGATTCTCCTATTAAGAGTATTTATTCCTCATCTGCTTTATTGTTTCAATGCTCACTTTCTCTTTTTAAATATACACACATATAACACACATAATATATATATCTATTATATTATATTTATAAATTAATAGATAATTATAGTTATTAATAAATAGCTGTTTACCACTGAATAGTCACTGTATTTCTTAATATGGATATTCTCTTACATAACACTACTGAAGTTACCAACTTCAGTAAACTTTACAATAATACTTTTATTTATCATCCATAACCCAACTTTTTTCAAAAGACCTCATAATATCCTTTATAGCCTGTTTTTCTTCCAGTATAGGATGAACTCTAGGACCGTATATTGCAGTGAGCAGTCTTGTTTCTTTAGGTTGCTTCTATCTGGCACATAAATATTTCTGAAGAACACTCCCCCCACACACACTTTATTTTAATCGAATGCTCCTGATCTGTGGTTTATCTAATGGCTCCTCTTGATTTAGACTAATTACATGAATTCCCAGCTGGAATTCTACACAGCGATGTGTTGTTCATATCTTAGGGAAGCACATGCTCGTTTGCTCCTCATTAGTGATGTTAATTTTAATCATCGGTTCGGGGCAATTTTTGATTTCTCCAGTATGCAGGAACTATTTTGTATCTTGCAACTAAAAGGCACTCTGTGAAGAAACACTTTAATTAAAACCATGTAAATATCTTGCTCATCAAAATATTATCCTATACTTAGCATCTGTTGACTATTCTTGCCTGATCTAATCTTTATGACTGCTTTATGGTGGCTGTAAAATAATTTTCCCTCTATAACACTCCTCAACATTAACCAGTCAGCACTGGCAATTCACTATAATGAAAAAACCCATTCCTTTCCCCCATTTATTGTTGTGGATGCAATAAATTATTTATAATTTTCTACTGCATTTATAGTTTTAATGGTTAAATTCTTGCTAATTTGGCCACTGGGAGATCCGTCGACCAGGCTCATGTATTATTATAATTTTTTCTTTTATAAAAAATATTTACTTTTTCTTTCTTTCTATAAAAAATATTTACTTTCTGACAAAAGAAGGTATTCCAGATTTATCTTGTATATTATCTGTGTAAGCCCTGTAATCAGTTGTATCCCCAAGAAACCTTCGTTCTTAAAAGCAGGCAAAAATATACCACTGATCACTACTCATCCCACAAAAGGTTCTGACCAATCAAGGCTATAATGACCTCAAACATTAATATTTCCTACACACATTGGAGACTCCAATAACATGTATATTATGCTGCTTAATGTTTGCATTAGCTCACTGATTCTCTTCATTTTTTATAAATTCTTTTCTCAGTTTCATTTTGAAGTTTCTATTGCTAGCCTTCAAGTTCATTAGCCTTTTCTTGTACAGTGTCTAATCTGCTATTCCTATCCGATCTATTTTCTACCTCAAATATCACAATAGTTTATAAATCTAATTTTGTGTTTGTTTCCTATTCTTGGGGTTGAGCCCTAAAATCAACTTGAGGCATTAAATTTAGGCAACGGTGATAAAACAAATGAAAACAAGACCCCTATCTTCACTGCTTCTAGCAAAAACTGGCATACACACATCATCATCATCATCAACAAAGATATATCTACTAGATATAAAAAGAGATGAGATGCACTGTTACTTTTCAGGTAGGAGGTTAACAGACCTCAGGGTCAATGTTTCTATTATTATTAGTCTTTCAAGGTCACTAATCTTTTCTTTGCAATGCAGAATTAGCCATTAATCCCACCCAGTGTATGTTCATCTTAGACATCTCTAGACTTGGGTCATTTGTATGTGCCCTAAATATTATCATATTCAAACAGACCTGCCAGTTCACTTCTCCATGTAAAATCAATTGGGCTCCTGATGTTGATAAGTTGTTCAAGAAAATTCTGTCACTAACACTTGGATTTTTTAAATATTTTAAGTGGGTAGGGTGACCAAAATTACAGAATAAATATTATCTTAAAGGCTTCAGACAAAAAATAGAACTCTAGCTGAAGCATATAGTTTCACCAAACTTACCCTGAGTTGTGAAATTGCTGCTTTCCCTTCTTCACTTTCTTCATCAAACTCATCATCACTCCACTCCCAGCCGCCATCTTCTGTCTTATGGAGACGGCCACTGGAACCTGGTACTCTCCGAACCTGCTCATTGGAAGAGACACAAGTTATGATACTGTTGACATTTATTATATAGAAAAATCAATCATATTCTCCTCTCCTTATAATACTTCAACGCAACAGGTATCATTCTTCCTGTAAGTATCCTCCAGCCCTCACTAGCTCTGCTCTGTTCATAATCTCCTCTCTTTCTTTACTCACAACCACTACTTTCCCTATGCTTCTATGCTCTGAACTCGAACATAATTCAAGTCCTTATGTGAAGTCATAATTTTATTTCAAAATCATAATTATACCTGTACAGTTTTAAGAGCACTACAGCTGTGTAAGTTCTGTTAAGAAAAACAACAATCTCATAATCTTTCATCCTTTTCACCATAAGCAACCATTTTCAACTCATTTTAACTTATTCTTTTGGATTGCATTTTCATCTCTCTATGTAACATGGTCTCTTTATTACCCCTGGAGTTTTTTTATTTTAGAAATTATCTATTGGACTTCCCACTATGGAAGTTGAGAATTTAACCTTATTATCAACCCTCTACTCTTTCTCAAGATATACATAATTACTTTTCTTTCCTGAATAACGTTTTTGTTTTCCCTGAAGCTAATATTTGTTGATCTCTATGTACTTGTCAAATTTATCCCCCGATTCTCTCCCAGCTATGTAAATCTTCTCCGAACACATTCATACACGTTAGGTCTTCTGCATCAGCATCATCTTCTTGAAGAAGACTCCAACCAGAGCCTCCTGATCTGCTTCCCCAGGTCTAGTACTTCTGATCTCACTCTACCATCATCCAGAGGACCATGCTTTCTGAATCATGTGACTTCCCTATTCTTGGTTTTGGCACTTTCTCCACTATTATTAGCCTGGCTCACTTACTAAAGCCATGCATTTCTAAACATATCTTTATTCCATCTCTACATCTCACTGACAGTTTCCCTGTTAAGAGAAAGTCTGGGCCAGAAACATAACCTCTCTACTGTGATCTGGTTCCTAGAGTGCTACTAAGGTCATTCTGACTCCTGCTCCTGTCTGCTGTGACCATTCCTCCTTCTCTGACAAGCTTTTTGCTTTTCGAGTATTCTGAGTTATCATGGTCGTGGGCCCCAGTGTTGGTCTGTTTTCATTCATTGTGCTGGTTACTTGGGCTCTTTCAATCTGGAAATTCATGACCACTAGTTTTAGAAATTTTTCCAGAATTATTTCTTCAATAATTTCCTTTCTTCTGGGTTGTTTTTTTGTTGGTTTGTTTTAGTTCTCTTTTTCTGGAATTCATTTTACTCATCTGTTAAATCTTTTTTTTTTTTTTTAATCTATTTTATTGATTTTTCACAAAGAGGAAGAAAGAGGGAAAGAGAGTTAGAAACATTGATGAGAGAGAATCATCGATCAGCTGCCTCTTGCACACTCCATACTGGGGATGTGCCCGCAACCAAGGTACATGCCCTTGCCCGGAATCAAACCCGGGACCCTTGAGTCTGCAGGCCGACGCTCCACCCACTGAGCCAAACCGGTCCCGGCTGTTGAATCTTTTTATTTATTTTTTATTTATTTATTTATTTTTTTAATATATTTTATTGATTTTGTACAGAGAGGAAGGGAGAGAGATAGAGAGTTAGAAACATCGTTGAGAGAGAGTCATCGATCAGCTGCCTCTTGCACACCCCATACTGGGGATGTGCCTGCAACCAAGGTACATGCCCTTGACCAGAATCGAACCTGGGACCCTTGAGTCCACAGGCCGACACTCTATCCACTGAGCCAAACCGGTCCCCGCTGTTTAATCTTTTTAAATGATCCTCTTACTGTTCTTGCACTTACTCTCCTGTTATCTATTTCTTGGCCTTGTAGCTCCATTTTCTGGGAAACTTCCTAAACTTGACTCTACAGCTTTTGTACTGATTTTTTTCATTTCTCCTATGTTTTCAAGTCCCAAGAGCTTTTTGCTGGTGGTGCTGCCATCCTCTAAATGCTCTTTTTTTTTTTCATTGAGATACTAGAGGCCGGGTGCACAAAATTCATGCAAGATTAGGCCTTCCTTCCCCAGGCTGCTGGCACCAACTTTGCCCTGGCACTCAGGACCCGGGCTTCCCACATAGCCCCGGCTACATCTGGGAGGTCATCTGGAAGGCTGTCTGGTCAAATTAGCATATTATGCTTTTATTATTATAAATTATTATAGATAATTCATATACCATACAGTTAACCCATTTAAGGTATATACTAATAATACAATCATTTTATTCAGAATTGTAAAACCATCTCCACAATGAAATTTAGATTATTTTCATCACTTCCTCTCCACCTCACCCCCCAAAACCCATCCTCATTATCAGTCACTGCCTATTTCTTTGAAATCCCTCCAGTCCTAGGCAACCACTAATCTACTTTGTCTCTATAAATTTGCCTAACCTGAGCATTTCACATAAGTGGAATCTCACAATATGTGGCCTTCTGTAACTAATTTCTTTCAATTAGCATAATTTTTTAAAGGTTCATGCTTGTTATGGCATGTATTAGTACCTCATTCTTTTTTTTTTTTTTTTTTTGCATTAAACAGATGCATGACATGTTACATATCCATTTATCTGTAGATGAACATTCAGGTTGTTTACGCTTTTTAGTTATTATGAATAATACTGTTATGAACATTCGTGGACATATTTTTGTGAGTACATGTTTTCAATTCTCTTAGATATGCCAAGAAGTAAAACTGTTGAGTCATATGGCAGCTTTGTTCAGCCTTTTGGAGAACTGCCAAACTACTTTCTAAAGCAGCTGCACCATTTTACATTTCCATTAATGTGTGAGGGTTCCAACTTCTCCACATCTATATCAATATTTGCTATTGTCTGTATTTTTTATTACAGTCATTCTAGTGGATATGAAGTGGTATCTTCAATACTTTTGTATGGTGTAAGAAAAGAGCCCAATCTCACAACTCACTCTGGTAGTTGCAAATAGTGATTTAACACAGTTTAGAATTAATTCATCAATAGCAGATAGCAGAGTAATGTGTAGACATTCAGTAGATTAATGATATTTACTGAATGAATCAAAGGATGCTAAAGAAAATGAGTAATACTCAGACTGTTAGCAAAGTATTACTTTTTCCTTTTCCTTTATTTTTTTTAAAAATTTTATTATTATTATTATTATTATTATTATTATTATTTTTAGAGAGAGATGGAGAGAAACCGATTGGTTGCCTCCTGTATGCACCCCAACCAGGAACTGAACCTGCAACCTGGGCAGGTGCCCTGACCAGGAATCGAACCAGTGACCTTTTGGTTCATGGAACCACGCTCAACCAGCTGAGCCACACCAGACAGGGCAACAAAGTGTTACTTTCAAATTGCAAAAGTAAATCTACTCAAAGCAATTTCCCAGGAAAACCAAGTTAAATACCCACCTTTTTAGCTCTTTCAGAAATGGTTGGTGCTCTCTGAAGTAATTTTTCTTGAAGAAATTCTTTATTCTGGAGAGGAAAAATAAGTATTTTTTCTTCTAACAAGTTTTTATTGACAAAGAAGCTTTTATTAACAAAGAAATTAAAATGTAACAAATTAACTGTTTTATAAAGAAATTCAAGAAACGCTTCCATTTTTTAATTCTGAAGCTCTTTAGAATATTGCTAGCATGGGTTTATAAACTGAGACAGCTTTAGTGTATTGTTAGGAACCATTATCTATGAAAAGTTTGCTTTATACCATATGTCCTTTGGGATCATGGTCCCATACTTCCAACTGCAGTAACATCCCACTTATCAGACATCTTTAGGAAATAAGATGTTTAGTAATTTAGTAATAAACCTTGAAATGAGAATTCAGCATTTTTCATAGATTATAATGGCAAAATTTAACATTCATTGTTCCTGCTATAAGTTTAATCTATTGACATTTAAATTAATTTATATGAAAAATAAATTAACTTATTCTAAATCATGTACCTTAATTACCAAAGACTGTATAAATGGCACCCTCTGCAATTATTTGATCTACTACTACCATTCTTCTAAGCATGATCATATTAACATAGTACAGCTTCTGAGCAGTAAACCTACTTAAGGTAACTGAGGAAGATAAAAATGAACACAAAAATCAGAAGTTAGAAATTCCTACCTTTGCTTTTTGGAAAAATTTGTTCCTCAACAATTCTGCTGCTGTTGGTCTAAAACCAGAAAGAAAAAAAAAAGTTTTTATAGTTAATTCAAATATAATGTGGGTTTTTATCTTCAAAACTGAGAAAATAATTTCTAAAGCAATAAGATAAAAATCAGTATACTCCACTTTCCTTAACCTGCTTTAAAAAAAAAAAAAAAGTAAGATAAACTTGGTATAAGACATTGAGTAGAATAAAAATTCATAGAGAAATGTCCTGATAATAATTATTTTAGGTTCTTTGACTAAGTTATTAGGTGAAATTTCTTTTTGGAAGCATGATTTCTCAGTGGCTTCCAATACATTTGCTATTTAATATTATTTCCCAAGAAGTAGGATAGAAAATGTTTACTTTAACGAGGCACAAAAATACATCTAGACACCGACAGCAGTGTGTGATAGCCACGGGGCTAGGGGGCAGGGCGGTGCTGGGCGAAGTAGGAAGAAATGGGGACATCTGCAATAGTGTCAACAATCAAAATAAATATTTTTAAAAGAAAAAAAAATACATGTAAACTCACAAAGTTCTCTGCTTCTTGCTATGTGGCTGCCTGCTAGCCTTCAACTTAGGTAGCTACATATTAAAAACTTGTAGCTCTGTGCACGGATCCGTGCGCCAGTAGGTCGCTGCCGCCCTCCTATAGCTCTCTGCCTACTGCCCAGCCCCCTCCTGGAGCTCTCTGCCTCCCACTTGCTTGCTGCCCTGCCCTTCCTGTAGCTTTCCACTGCCCGCTGGTACTTCGCTGCCACACCCTCCTGTGATCCGGCCGTTACTCCTCAGGGTGTAACAGATAATTAGCATATCCCTCTCTTATATTAAAAACAGATTTCACCATTTCCCTTAAAAATACTCTACATTTAATAGATATTCCCCACATTCAACCTAAACTCTATTTTACTCAACTGTGCAGAGTCTTACTTCATTTGAATAAAGGCATCATTACCAACTTTACAAATATTTAACTGAGTTTGATTGAGAATAAAGAACAAGCAATACTATACTTAAGAGCCTGGTTTTGATTACACCACACACCAACCATGTAATCCTGAGCAAACCACTTCTCTAAGGTTCAGGATCACCGTGTCAACTCCCTAAAAACAGTGGTTCTTAAATGTTGCCATGCATTATATCTGGGAGCTGAGAAAAATCCTGATGCCTAGGCTGCACCCCACACCAATTAGAGGGGAACCAGTGGGGCAAACCCAGGGATCATTAGTTGTTCAAATTCTCCAGGCGATTCCCATGTGCACTCAAGCTTGAGAACCAGGGCCTCAAAGGATTTCCACAGAGTAACAGACAGAATAAATGCACACTGACCACAGTCATTACCATCCCTATTTTTTCACTCAGTCAAGTTTTCAATATTTTCAATAGTTTGTTGGCACAATATTGCTTCTTATAATTCATTCCTTTCTCCTAGGATCATTTCCTTCTTTCTAAATACAATTTATAAGAGTTCTTTAAGTGCTAAAACATAACTGGAAAACGTAATCTTTGTCTGGAAAATATCTTAATTCTATGCTTAATTCTTGAACGTTAATTTGATTAGTTGGAGAATTCTGGGATATTTTCTCTCAGCATTATGCCAGTATATTCTGGCCTCAAATGTTATTATTGGGGAAGTGGCTAGTGGTCTACTGGCCATTCCCCAGTAGGTAATCTGTTCTCTCAGTGTGCAGTGAAATAAGAATTTCTATTTGCCTTTGTGTCCTGTGGTTTTATGACCGTGTGTCCAAGTGGAAAAGGGGAATGCTGCTTGGAATTTTGGGAGATGGTCTTTAACCTGAGGATATAGGTATATCAATTCTAGAATATTTTCAGCTATTATTTCCTTGAATATTGTATCTCCCACATTCTTTCTAATCCTTCCTATAAAGCCCATAGGTACATATATATAAATGTGTATACATACTACAATAGATGTACCGGTTAATAATAACTGATTTTGTAATCAAAGAAAACATGATAATTTCAAGAGAAACATTAAAAGTGCTTTATTCAAAGTAATGTCCATCGCTAGCTACATATTGCCCCATCTTTCAGGTAATTTGTGGATACCATCCCAATAGAACTTTACTTGTTTTGAGGCAAACCATTCAGAGACCCAATTTTCAATCTGAAGGAGCAAGGTCTGGTGAATACAGCGGGTGGGTTAATACTTCCCAGGCAAGGTCTTTTAACGTTTCTTTAACTGGTTTTGAAGTGTGTGATGGTGTGTCATCATGAAGCAAAATTACTTTGCCGTGTCTTCTGGAACATTCTTATCGTTTCATGATCAAAGTGTGGTTCAAATTGATTATTTGTTGTCGGTAGTGATCAGTATTAACGGTTTCACCTGGTTTTAGAAGCTCATAATACACCACACCTTCCTGATCACACCAAATGCAGAGCATTATCTTCTTTCCGAAGCGATTTGGCCTTGCAGTTGATATTGATGGTTGACCTGGATAAACTCATGATTTTGTGCATTTGAGAATTCTCAAAATAAGTCCACTTTTCATCACCAGTCACAATTCGATGCAAAAGACTTTCCTTTGTGCCACAGAAGAAACGTTTTACTGATGACTTTTCGATTTTCCATTTGTCTTTCGTTCAGTTGATGAAAATGGCACCCATTTTCCTCCCTTTAAAATTTTTCCCATTGCTTGTATACATTTGGAAATTGTTTACTGAGCAACGTTTAATATTTCTGCAAGTTGTTTCTGAGTCTTACATGCATCTTCATGCAATAATGCTTTTAATTGTTGGTCTTCAAACTTTTTCGGTTGACCTGGATGTTCTTTGTCTTTCACACAGAAATCATCGCTTTTAAAGCATTAAACCAGCATGCACACGTATCTTGAGATAGAGTATGTTCACCGTAAGCTTTCCAAAGTATTCAGCAGAACTTTTCTTCAAAATAATGAATTATAACTTCCTGCAAATGCTCTTTTTTTGGCACAAAATTCGACGTTTTTAAGTGTAAAACTATCTATGATGTTAACACCTTCAGCAAATTTGACATAAGAAGTTTTGAAGCTTGTTGTCAATACAACAAAAGAGCATACATATCAAATCGCATATGTATCAATATATGTGTAACTCCATCTATTGAAAAAAATCCGCATTATTAACCGGTACATCTAGTATACATGTGTATGTATGTATGTGTCTGTTACATCCACATACTCTGAACCTTCTCATTCTATCCTCTAAAAGTTCATCTCTCTTTCATATGCACAAATAGTTCTCTGTAACATATTAGATGAAGAGAGAAGTAAGCCTTATCTGATATTTACCTTTTTTCTGGATCTTTTTGAAGGCACAATGAAATCATTTTTCTAAATGATTTTCCATATTTTTTCAGCATTTCTTTATCTTGAACACCAGTTTCCAAAGAAGGAGGATCATTCTGCAGTGTCAGCATCAAAACCTGTAAGAATTTTCAATATAATAAAAACTTCTAAAGACTCAGTAAAGTAAAATTAAATACTGTGACCACGACATTTTAACATGGACAACCCCCAACATATGAGCAGATATTATTTTCTGAAAGTTCAGAATCCAGAACTTAGAGCAGTTGTTCAGAATCCAAAGTTATCCACATAAACAATATCCTATAGGAAGTTGGCTATAGGATAGTCAGGCACACTGTATGTCCTTTGATTAGACTCCTTTCTTCATGTCTTCTGTCCCCACTCCTATTCTGCCAAACTACCTTTAAAAAAATTAAAACCATAACAAAATTCAGAGTGTGAACTTGCTGACTTTACCTATTCATGGCTCTCTTTCAACTTGTAATCTGGCCTTCTCTTCCCAGAACTCTTCAGATAGTTCTATCCTTGAAATCACTAATGATGTCCTAGGTAACAAAGCTGGAGCCTTTTTTTAGTTCTCGTTGTTCCTACATTCCCACAACAACTGACAAACTTGCCTATCCTGTCCATCTGTTCGTTCTTGGACTTTCATGGCAACATACTAGCTTAATGCACAGAGATGCATGTAATGAAAGTCATTTTATATGATGGGACTTGGGTGATTTTTTTCCTCTTTTTTTTTTAATTGATTTTTTTCAGAGAGGAAGGAAGAGTGAGAGAGTTAGAAACATCGATGAGAGAAACATCCATCAGCTGCCTCCTGCACGCCCCCTATTGGGGATGTGCCTGCAACCAAGGTACATGCCCTTGACTAGAATTGAACCTGAGACCCTACAGTCCTCGGGCTGATGCTCTATCCACTGAGCCAAACTGGTTTTGGCTGGTAGCACCATCTTAAACACAAAACACTCATTCTGTTACTAATGTTGGGGACAGGATTAATAACTACATTTCAGGTAACTACTACCATCAGGAAATAATAGGCCTTTTAATAAAAACTGCTTAATGTTCTAAGCAAACTTTTATTCAATATTAAAAATAATACATATGTATGGCACATGATCACTTTGCATGGATTATCTTACTTAAGATATATTATAAAAAGCACTTAAATCAGTGCCTGGCAAAATAAGTGCTCAATGAATGTCAGCTATAATTACTATTAATTCATAACCTTTCCAGCAACCTTATGAAGTAGAATCGATCACCATCCCCAGTAAGGCTGTTCATCCCCATTAAAGGTGTCTGTAAGGAACCCACACTAAAATGAGAGGCATCAGACCCTAATCTCAAACCAGTTAGCATCAGGAGACCGACAGTCATCATATAAAGAGAATCGCTACAAGGTACAGTCATTCAATACTAACCACCAAAAATCTATTACAGATCTTAACTGCTACAGGAGTTAGAAGGAATGCAGGCAGAACTCCATGAGTAAAAACATCAAATGAAGAAAGGTTCTAAAAAGGAACTGGTACAGAAGCTGGGGTAGTACTTGGGGTATAAGCCTCACCTTCATTGGTGGATACTTATGATAAGGAGCAGCCCCTGTGGCCAGTTCAATCGCTGTGATCCCAAAACTCCAGATATCAGCTTTGAAATCATACCCTCGGACCTGCAGAAAATAGAAAGATGTACATGATCACCTTTACCAACCTCAAAGCACTTTAAAAAAGTAGCTTCCAGCCGAAACCGGTTTGGCTCAGTGGTAAAGTGTCAGTCTGGGGACTGAAAAGTCTCGGGTTCGATTCCGGTCAAGGGCATGTACCTTGGTTGCGGGCACATCCCCGGTAGGGGGTGTGCAAGAGGCAACTGGTCGATGTTTCTCTCTCATTGATGTTTCTAGCTCTCTATCTCTCTCCCTTCCTCTCTGTAAAAAATCAATGAAATATATTTAAAAAAAAAAAAGTAGCTTCCAACATGTGTCAAGAAACATGGAAGTGTTCATAAGCTTTAAACCAATCATATAATCTAAAGTAGGCAAAAGCTAAATATACTTGGGAATAGGAAAAAACAAAAGCAAACTGAATGAATGTTCACCAACAATGGGAAATCGTTAAATATGGTACATTCACTTAAAGAAATACTATGTAAATAAACAAAAGCAAGTTTAATAAATTCCATATGAAAAACACCTGGTCATAATGCCTGGTTAAAAATATAAAATTGGTCATAATGCCTGATCAGTGTTGCTCAGTGGTTGAGTGTTGACCTATGAATCAGGAGGTCAGGATTCAATTCCTGGTTACGGGGTGTGCAGGAGGCAGCCAATTGATGATTCTCATCACTGATGTTTTCTCTTTCTCTGACTTCAATATAAATATATATATTTTTTAAAAGATTAGGTCATTTAATTTGTATTAAGAAAAATATTACTAAACCAATCTTCATTATACAGGTATTATTCCTTAGGTTGTCTTTAGTATAAATCCTAGTTGCATATGTCCTTCGTAAAGTTCTAGTTTCTTTTTGGGGTTTTTAAGGGAGGACAAACGTCTTAACCAAGGAACAGATATGTGTATTTCCCAAACCTAACCTATACCAAAAAGAAGCAAACATTACTCAGTGTTTTTCAATTCCATAACAAAACCCTAAACCATTTTAAAACACACAGTACCTGTTCCATAACTTCAGGTGCCATCCAGCAAGGGGTTCCAACAAAGGTCTTTCTCACTTTATTTCGAGTAATATCACCACCAGTTGCTAAAAAAGCACTAACACCAAAGTCTGAAACAGAGAAAATAACAGCAAGGTATTAAAAGTACGGTAAGTAACATGAATGAATAGGAAAATAACGTAATGTAGTTATAGTTTTATAAAAAAACCGCATGACATCTTCTGTTCTTCTTGCTGAACTTTTTCTGTGCGTGTGAGAACAAAGCAAGTTTTATTCAAGTAGAGAAAAACAAAGGCCAGGGCATGGGCATTACTACACAAGAAACAAAAAGTATGCATCCCAGCAGACATGGGCCAACTAGAGAGTAAGCTCAGCGTTGGTGGAACTTCTGGCCAAATTAAACAGTTCAACAGGTACTTTGTTCCATTCCTCTCCTCCTCAACACATCATTATAATCTTAGATTTCCCTCCTTGCTCCACTCTATTGTTTTCACTTTATCATCCCAAACTGAAACTGCATACTCATCTATAATAATAAAAACGTAATATGCTAATTAAACCAGACAGCAGCAGGATCTCTGGACAAAGTTGGAGCTGTGAGGGCTTGGCAAGCCATCACGGCTGCGAGGGCTGAGCCCCTTGCACAAATTTCGTGCATCGGGCCTCTAGTCTATCTATAATAAAAGGGTAATATGCTAATTAGACTGGACATCATTCCAGACAAAGCCAGGGTTGGAAGGAAGCCCAGGTCCTGTATGCCCGAGTCCCAGGTGCCAGAAGGAAGGCAGTGCCAGCAGCCGGGGGAAGGAAGGCCCACTCTTGTATGAATTTCATGCACTGGGCCTCTAGTTAAACAATAATTCCCCACTGCCCTCTCCACACAGGACTGGCAATCAGCATTCTACTTTCTTATGCCAGTTACAGACAGAGAAATGTACAATTATTACAGCATATCTCTGTTTATAACAGGCTTATTTCACTTAGCATAATGTCCTCAAGATACATCCATGTTGAAGGATATCAGAATATCCTCCCTTTATAAAATAAATAATATTCCATTGTATGTATATACCAGATTTTGTGTATTGATTATTTCATTGATGGGACACTTGGTTTGCTTCCATGATTTAGCCACTATGAGTAATGCTGCTATAAAAATGGGTGTACAAATATCTGTTTTTGAGTCCTTGCTTTCAGTCCTATATATTTTAAATGTTTCAGGAAATGCCATACTGTTTTCCACAGCAGCTGTACCATTTTGCATTTCCACCAACAGTGAACAAGGATTCCAATATGTCTCCACATCCTTGTATTTTCTGGGTTTGGGGATTTTCTTTTGACAGTCAATCCTGGTATATGAGGTAGAATTTCCTCGTAGTTTTGATGTGCTTTTCCCTGGTGATTAGTGATGCTGAGCAGCTTTTCGTGTGCTTAGTGGCCCCGTGTTTATCTTCTTTGGAGAAATGTCTATTCAAGTTCGTTTTTAAACACCTTGTTCTTTTTGATGTTAAGTTTTAAGAAGGTTTCTGTAAATTTTGGATATTATTAGTCTCTTATCAGGTGTATGACTTGCAAATCTTTTCTCCCGTTTAATGGGTTGCCTTTTTACTCTTTTGGTAGTGTCTATGCACAAAATTTTTAATTTTCATAAAGGCCAATTTGTCTACTTTTTCTTCTGTTAAGCCATGCCTTTGGCATCATATCTAAGAAATCACTGCCAAATCTAATGTCATAAAACTTTTTTTCTATGTTTTCTTCTTAGAATGTTATTGTGTAGGTTTTACGTTTCAATCTTAGATCCATTTTGAGTTAATTTTTGTATATGGTGTTAGATAAGGGCCCAACTTCATTCTTTTTCATGGAATATGCAGTTTTCTCATCACCATTTGTCCTTGAATAGACTTGGTACCTTTGTCAAAATAATTTAACCATAAACAGGGTGGGCAAAAGTAGACTTACAGTTGTGAGTATGGGAAATACAATTTATCCTTGCACTATTATTTATTAACTAGAGACCCAATGCACAAGATTCATGCAAGAGTGGGCCTTCCTTTCCCCGGCTGCTGGGACCAGCTTCCCTCTGGCACTCAGGATTCAGGCTTCCCTCCAGCCGCCGCCAGGGACCCTGGCTTCGCTCTGGCCACAGGCAGGCACCTGGCACCCGGACTTGGTCCAGAAAGATATCCGGAATGACGTCCCGTCTAATTAGCATATTACCCTTTTATTATTATACGTGATTGTATTTTTCCATACAACCAAGCATAAACCTCTTTTTGCCACACTCTGTATGTGAGAGTTTATTTCTGGACTCTTTCCTATTTCATCTGTCTCCAACATCTTTATGCCCATAACATACTATTTTTAAAAAAATATATATGTCTTAAATGATTTCATAAAGGAAGAGGGAGAAAGAGATAGAAACATCAATGATGAGAGAGAATCTTTGGTTGCCTCCAATACTCCCCTTATTGGAGATTGAGCCAGCAACCTGGGCATGTGCCCTAACTGGGATTCTCTAGTTCCCAGGTCAAGGCTCAAACACTGAGTCATACCGGCCAGGACAGTAATAAAAGTAGTAATAATGTACTACTTTTATTACTGTCTTTTGAAGTAAGTCTTAAAAACAGGAAATGTCATTGTTCCAGCTTTGTTCATTCTTTTTCAAGATTGTTTTGCTTGAGGTTACTTGAGATTCCATATGAATTTAGGATAGGTTTTTTCTATTTCTACAAAAAAAAAAAGGAAAAATCATTGGGATTTTGATAGTGATTGCACTGGATCTGTAGATCACTTTGGGTGGTACTGACATTTTAACAATACAAGTACCCCCACTTTCTCGTTTGCATAATACAAAAGACTACATTGAGTACTTGTTTTCACTAACTAGAAGAAACCTGTAGAGGGTTTTCACTTTTACAAAAAAAGCCGTTATACCAATGTAGGTTTTTGGTGACAGCAAGTGGCTAAAGTTACCGTTCTTGAAAGCAAGGGATATTCTTTGATTTAAGCCATTTTGGCTTATGAAAGATTTCATAAAAATGCTTTACATCAGGACAGTGAGAAAACCTATATAAATGTATATAACCGGATCATATGTTTTTATCCACTTTGCCAATCTCTGTCTTGACTGGAGAGCTAACCCATTTACATTTAAAATTGTTACTGAAATTAGACTTCTGTCATTGTATTACTTATTTTATTTATGTCTAATAGATTTTTCCCTCATTTCCTACATTACTTTTGTGTTTAGTTGGTTTATGTCTATATTCTACAGCTATTTTCTTTGTGGCTACCACAGGGGTTAGTTAGACTTGCCATTCTAAAATTATAATACTCTAATTTGAATTTATACCAACTTACCTTCAAGACAGAAAAACTCTTCTCCTGTATAGCCCTGTCCCCACTCTTTTTTATTATTGTTACAAAAGCACATCTTAATACAGTGTGTATTCAAAACCATAAATGAACAATTCTTTTAAATGCATTAGTCTCTTAAATTATGTAGACAAGACGGAATTATAAACTAATGTTACTGTAATACCAACTTTTAAACCAATAACTGTTTTCAATAGTGTATTAGTTTCTTAAATCATGTAGAAAACACAAGAAGTAGAGCTACAAACCATTGTTGCAACAATACTTATAATAACAGCTTTTATACTTGCCCAAGTATTTACCTTTATTGAGATCTTTATTTCCTCAGACTGCTTGGAGTTATTGTTTAGCATCCTTTCATTTCACTTTGCAGGCTCCCTTGAGCATTTCTTGCAGGGCAAGCCAAGTGGAAACATATTCCTCAGCTCTTATTTATCTGGGAATGTCTTAATTTATCCCTCACTTTTGATGAAGTTTTATCAGATAACGGATTCTTGGTTGACAATTCTTTCTTTTAGCACTTGAATATATCGCCCTACTGCTTTCTGGCCTACAAAGTTCCTCATAAGAAATCTGCTGACAACATTATTCAGTATCCCTTATGACAAGTCATTTCTTTCTTGCTGTTCTCAAGATTCTTGTCTCTGGCTTTCATAAATTTGATTATAATGTGTCTTTTAGGGTTTTTCATACTTGGTGGACATTGAGCTTCTTAGATGTTTATATTCATGTCTTTCATCAAATTTGGGGAGTTTTCAGCCATTATTTCATTAAATACTCTCTCTGCTCTTTTCTCTCTTCTCTTTCTGGACTTCACACATGTGTATGTTGGTCCACTTACTGGTGTCTAACTACCCCCTCAGCTATGTCCACCTTTCTTCAGCCCTTTCTTTCTATTCATCCTATTGCTAATTTTCATTTCCCTATCTCCAAGATGACCAATTCTTTCTTCTGCCAACTCAATTCTGCAAGTGAATCTTCCAGTGAATTTTTCATGTTATTGTACAAGTTATTGTACTTTTGCTCCATTATTTCTTTTAGGCTTTCTCTCTTTACTAATAGTTCCATTTTGTTCAGACATTGTTTTCTTTGGTTTCTGTGCAGCATCCATTACTTCTTTGAGCATCTTTAAGACAGCTGTTTTAAAATCTTTGTATAGCAAATCTGCCTTCAGGTTTTTTTCACTGACAGTTTCTGTTGATTTATATATTTCCTTTGAGTACATCACACTTTGCAGTTTCATTAAATGCCTTGTAATTTTGTTGTTGTTGAAAACCGAAGATTTAAATCTAATAATATGGCAACTGTGGAGATCAGATTCTACCCCATTTCCAGGGTTTGCTGTTTTGTTTTGTTTTTGTAAATGTTTTGTTTGTTGTAGACTGTGTCTATGTCAATTATCAGCCTGAGATGTAAACTTAAAAGGTCTTCTCAGATCTTTTCTGCACTTTTCCCTTGGCATGTGCAGTCACTTTCCAATTTTCCCTGTAAATGTAGGGTTTTTTTTTTAATGTCCTAGTCTTTAATGTCTGGCTCCAAAAGGAGAAAGACGAGAAAAATGAAGGGAAGGAAAAAGGGTGCTGCCTTATTAAGTTGCATGGAAATCACCGGCGGTGAGGTTGGGATGAGGGTGGGGGTTGGGGACAATCATAATGGCTTTTTGCCTTTTTGCCTGCACCTTTCAGATCTGAAGCAGCAATTACTGATCAGAACACAGATGCATGATATTTGGAGAACAGATAATTTTTGTCCACTATGATTCCCGCAAGTTGTGTGCAAACCATTCCAAAACATGCACAGCTGCATACAGTGGCTGATGGGTGAAAAATTTGGCTCTGAAATTAACCAAATTAAGCACAATTTGCAATCTAAGACCTTCCCTGGAATTTTCAAGCCTTTAATGGTCACAAAATTCCAAAAACAGTTACAGTAAGTCCTCACTTAACAGCATCAATAGGTTCTGTGACTTGAAGTAAAACAATGTATAATGAAGCCAATTTTACCATAAGCTAACTGATATAAAAAAAGAGTTAGGTTCCTACTGCATCTCATCTATATTAGAATGAAATGACGGACAAAATGTTATTTAAGAACCCTGCTGTACATCAGATTCTGCCAGTTCAATTGCTGTCTAGGCGGGAAGACAGATTCCTAGTAATTCTATTCACTATTTTATCACAATTCTCTCCTTTATTTATTTATTTTTTTCCAGCTCATTTTGCTTCTCTAAGCAAAATGTCCCTGATGTTGAACTTATATAATGGAATCACATTCTTTATACAAACTGTAAACCTACTTTTGTGGGCCCCTGTAATCTAATTTGACTGGCTTATTTCATCCTGTATCTTTATAATTTATTAATGTTTTTGTATGTAGTTGTAATTCTATTCAATTTCAACTAGACAGTATTCTAATGTATAAATTACAAGTTATTTATCCAGTATATTAATGAAGGGCTGGGGACTGTTTTAAACTTTCTCAGTGATTATGAGCACCACGGCACACATAAGCATGAGTTTCTCTAGGCCATGCCATCTAAAAGCCAAAGTTTTAGGATACGAATATCTTTAACTTAATTTATACTCTCATGATCAGAGTATGAGATTTTTTCCCCCCTTGCTTTACATCCCAACTAACAATTGGTATAATATTATTAGATGTGTAAGCCAACTGAGTCAGTATGATATGGTACCCCAATGATATTCTACTTTGCTTTTACTGATTACTAGTGAGGTTGAACACCTTTTATACTTATGTTTTAATGTCTTCATTTGAGAAGCCTTATGTCTATTTTCTAATCAGATTTTTTTCTTAATGAGCCCTTTATCAGTATTCATGCTGGAAATATCTTCTCTATACTCTATGGTTTGCTTTTAATTATTCATGGTGATGCACTGTTGGTTCCTCTTTTGATGAATAAAGGTTGCTAAATTTTAAGAGTCAAATTTATCAATTTTTTCCTTTATATTAGAACATTATGTGGCTTGGTAAAAATACTCCCTTACCTTAGGACATGAAAATGTGTGCCTAAGTTACCTTTTAACGCTGAAGAAAGAACTAAGTTTTGAGTGATTATCTTCCTCCTGCCAAACGACTGTTGCAACAGTGTACCTGGACTAAGCCAAGTTTTCTCAGATAATCTGAGAAATCAACAAGCCTGTGGTTCCACCATTCTGGAGTCTCGGCCTGAAGCATGGGTTACTTCACCAGGATAGCCACCTTTGACAGACCCTGGACACCAACTCTTCAGCTCTGAGTCTCCCAAAAGCGCACTTCCACCTATCAAGCTTCCTAATTGGCAAATACCCCATGTCCCCCAGTATAGAAGCAGCTCTATTATCACCTTTCTATAGCATATTTATTCTTAAACATAATGAGGTTTCTTGACTACTTCTCCTTTAAAAAAAAAAAAGTACAGAATGCTATTAGAAACCAGAGAAAAAGACCCTAATGGGGGATTAGAAGTGGATATCTAGGAGGTGATGAGTAATAGTCAGAAAAATGTCTAAGATTGAAAATGAATACTGAGAAGTGAAGAATATCTTGAGAGTCAGCAGGGATGTGCCAATATAGAATGCTTGACTAGAAATGATCCAAGGAAGAGAAGAGCAAATTGACTAAGAAATGTAAAGATGGGTAATGTGGTACTACTGACCATTAAATCAAAATAAAAGAAATACTAATCATTACCTGCAATCTGTACTGAGCCATCTTCTCCAAGAAGAATATTTCCAGCTTTCACATCTCTTTAAGAAAAACAAAAGTTGCATATTAAAATAACACGTATTCTTTTTTTTATTTTATTTTATTATTTATTTATTTGTTTGTTTGTTTATTTATTTATTTATTTTTACATATTTTAATGATTTTCCCCCCTCCCTCTCTCCCCCATATCCCCTCCCTCCCCATAGTTTTATGTCCATTGGTTAAAATAACGCGTATTCTTTAGAGTCACATACTTTAAGAAATTGTTCACTATATTCATACAACATAGCTATTGAAGTGCTTTATTTTGCACTAAAGGTTATTAAGGCCAATAGTAAAATTTTAAAAAATTTAGTCACATGTACTAGAATCCAACCATTGTAAACAGAAAGCTAGATAGAATAACATTTAGTTTTAAAACCCAAGGTGATTAAATGTTCGATTGGGATTATAATAGTGACCAAAGAATGTGATCCTCACCCAATTCTACTTTGTGAAATACATTTTTTTTCCTAAAACCTAATATATGGTAAAAATTTTTAAATGGTCAATACGTGGTTGAAAACAGGGATTTTTCTATGATTATAGCATAAAGACAGATATAAATTATTCAAACATCTCTATATTTCATTGATAACTATAGCAGCTCAAGCAAAACATGAATACATTCTTATTATAGAATTCAGAACAGTTTTAAATTTACATAGAAATTGAGAAGAAAGTACAGAGGAATTCTCATACACCTTATACTCAATTTCCTTTACCATTAACATCTTACATTGGTATGACACTTCTGCCACAATTTAATGAACCAGTATTGATGTGTTATTATTAACTAAAGTCTACCATTTATTCAGATTTTTTTAGTTTTTACCTAGTACCCTTTTTCTGTCCCAGGATCCCATCCAGTATCCTATATTACATTTATTTGTCATTTCTCCTTAGGCTCCTCTTGTCTGTGACAGTTTGACTTTCCTTGTTGTTGTTTTAAATATATTTTTATTATTGATTTTAGAGAGGAAGGGAGAGGAAGAGAGATATAGAAATATCAATAATGAGAATCATTGATCAGCTGCCTCTGGCACACCCCACACAGGGGATTGAGCCCACAACGCAGGCATGTGCCCTGCCTGGGAATAGAACCGTGACCTCTGGATTCATAGGTCAATGCTCAACCCCTGAATCACGCCAACCCGGTAAGACTTTCCTTGTTTTTTATGACCTTCACAATTTTGAGGAATAAGGGTCTCATTTACCCCAGGATGTTTCCCTCGTGATTAGACTAGTGTTATAAGTTCTTGGAAGAAAAACCACCGAAGCAAAGTGCCATTTTCATCACGTAATGTCAAGAGTACATGGTATCAACATAATTTAGTCACAGTTGCTATTGAGAAGACTTGTTTTTTATCATATATGTTTTGTGCTGTTTGAACTTTTACCTATTTAAATTATGTTTTCTAAGTTTCTGTCTTTCATAAATGAAGTGACAGTCATGCATTTTCAGTGAACTTTCACCTTTCCTGTGCGATTCACCAGATAATCAATTCGTGTTCCCTTTTGAAACCACAAGTGCAATCTGTAGAGCAGCTTGCAGGAGGGAAAGCAGAGGAACGCCATGCGGTGAAGGGCTCACTGGACACTGGACACAGAGGACAACTGACCTTTCAGGAAGAAGATGTGTAACTAAATATCTGGCGTCAACATGGTCCTTGATGAAAGAACTGTTGTTACTCGCCACAAAGACTATCAAGCAACCCAGCAGCCCCGACAATTAAGTCCTCCTTCCACCTTAAAATAGCCAGAAGGTGAGTTCTGTTTTTCTCAGCTTAATGCCATTTCTCACATGTCACCATTGCCCCAAAGTTACAAATATCATAGACATGCTTGACTTTCTCATTAATGCAGAACACAAGTTTCTCCCCATGACAATTTTATGATTCATCAATCAGCATAGTTTATGGAAAATTTGAAGAAGGGCAAGAGAAGAAACAAATCAAAACAAAAGCTGGCAAATGCACTACATTTAGGCATCTTAAACTAAATATTTAACATTTCTTTTTCTGGGGGTGGGGGGAGTTCACTTTGACATATTTATTTAATTATTAGAACTACTTCAAATCCATGTTACTGAATAAGGAAAATTCTGAGATTGGTTTTGGAAATTCAGAACTCTTAGCACCTTTCTTGCTTATCTATAAAAAACTTGCTTTTTCCTTCCATATTCTAATTACTCCTTAAAACCTGTTTTACAACCTGGTAGATGATCTTCAACCAGTTAGTTTTCTGGGCTTTTACTTGTCTGTTTGTTGAGGGATTGGGATTTAGTAGGTGATTTTTTAAAATTCAGGTATAACTGACAAATCTGTAAGATATTTTTAGTGTATAACAAAAATGTGACAGTTTGATATGAGTACATATTGAGAAAAGATTCCACCCCCATTGAGTAACTTAACACATCTATCACCTTACATATTTACTTTTTTTTTTGTATGTGAGAACATTTAAATTCTATTCTCTTAGCAAACTGCAATAATACAATATATTATTATCAATTACAGCAGGTCCTGTATTAATGCCTTTCATTCAACATCATTTCATTATATCGTTGATGAGATGCTATAGGAACTTAACACTTGTTTGTAAAATGTTAGTAAAAATGGTAAGAGTGGGCAGTATTGTCTTGTTCCTGATCTTAGAGAAAAAGCTTTCAGCTTTTCACTGTTGAGTATGGCATAAGCTGTGGGTTTGTCGTATATGGACTTTATTATGTTAAATACATTACCACTACACCCAGTTTGTTGAAAGTTTTTATCATGTAAGGATGTTGAATTTTGTCAAATGCTTTTTTTTTTTAATCTATTGAGATAATCATAAGATTTTTGTTATTCATTTTGTTAATGTAATATATGATTTGCAAATGTTGGACCATCCTTGCATCCCTGAAATCTCACTTGATCATGATATGATCCTAATACATTGTTCAATTCAGTTTACTAATATTCTGTTGAGGATTTTTGCATCTACAATCACCAGGGATAATGTTCTGTAAATTTTTTCTTTTAGTGTCCTTTCTAGCTTTGGAATCAGTGAAATGCCAACCCTTAAAATGAGTTTGGAAGTGTTCCCTCCTCTTCTATTTTTTTGGAAGAGTTTGAGAAGGATTATTGTTAGTTTTTCTTTAAAAATTTGGTAGACTTCTCCAGGGAAGACATCTGATCCTGGACTTTTCTTTGCTCAGAGGTTTTTACTGATTAAATCTCCTTACTAGTAACTGGTCTGTTCTGATTTTCTATTTCTTCATCATTCAATCTTGGAAGGTTATATACTTTTAGAAATTTGCCCATTTCTTCTACACTGTCAAATGTGTTGACATATCATTGTTTGTACTACTCTCTCATGATTCTTTGTATTTCAGAGATGTCAGTTGTAACATTCCTTTCATTTATAATTTAATATATTTGGGCCCTTACTTTTTTTCTTTATGAGTTTGGTTAAAGATTTGCTAATTTTACCTATGTTTTCAATAAACCAACTTTAGTTTTATTGATTTTTCTTTTTTTATATTTCTATTTTATTTATCTCTGCTCTGATCATAACTATTTCTATTTCTTTCCTTTTGTTTACTTTGAGTTTGTTTCTTCTTTTTCTAGTCCCTTTGGGTGTAGAGTTAGAGCTCTTTGGAGTTTTTCTTGTTTCTTGGGGTAAGCCTGGATAGCTATGAACTTCCCTCTTAAACCGGTTTTGCTGCAAATTTTGAAAAGTTGGTGTTTTTCTTTTCATTTGTTTCAAGGTAGTTTATTTCCTGTTTTAATTTCCTCTTTGATCCATTGGTTAGTTTAATAGCATGTTATTTATTCTCCACATATTTGTGTTTTTCCCAATTTTCTTTCTGTAGTTGATTTCTAGTTTTATGCCATTATGGCTGGAAAAGATGCTTGATATGATTTCAATTTTCTTGAATTTATTAAGGTTTGTTTTGCTGCCTAATAAATTATCTATTTTGGAGAATGTTCTGTATGCAATTGTAAAATGTGTATTCTGTGTTTGTTGGATGAAATGTTACGTAAATATCTATTAAATCCACCTGGTCTAATGTGACATTTACAGTCATTATTTCCTTATTAATTTTCTTTTTTTGTTTTTTTTAAAATATATTTTATTGATTTTGTACAGAGAGGAAGGGAGAGAGATAGAGAGTTAGAAACATCGATGAGAGAGAGTCATCGATCAGCTGCCTCTTGCACACCCACTACTGGGGATATGCCCGCAACTAAGGTATATGCCCTTGACCGGAATCGAACCCGGGTCCCTTCAGTCCCCAAGCCGACGCTCTATCCATTGAGCCAAACCAGTCTCGGCTCCTTATTAATTTTCCATAGTCGTCTGGCTGATCTATCCACTAATCTGAGTGGCATATTAAAATCCCCTACTATTGTGGTACATAGCTTTTTAAGTGTTTTTTCATTTTTTTAAGTTTTAATTAAAAATATTATTTTACAAAGAGCTTTTAATAATTTAAGAAAATATTCAAGATGTAAAAGAAACAAACAAAAAAAGAAACAAAATTATATATACAGGTTTATTTTAAACTAGTGACCCATTGCAGGAAGATTCCTGCAAGCAGCCCTACCCCACCTGCTGCCCTCGCTTTCCCTCTGGTAGCTGCCTTGCTTTCCCTTTTCCCTCCCTCTTCCTTCTATGCAGTCTTCAGCCATCACTCCTCCCTCCCTCAGCATATACAAGTTAACCACCATCTTTGTTGGATTAATTTGCATACTCGCTCTGATTGGCTGTGGGCAAGCAATGGTACGGTTAATTAGCATTTTTTCTTTTATTAGTGTAGATATTTTTTAGCACATGAAAGAGACTAAGAAGGAATAGTCAAAATGTTATCAGTGATTGTAGTGACTGCCTCCTGATAAGAAATTGGGAGTTTTTTCAGTTTTTGTATTTTAAAATACTAGCTGTGTAATTAAAACCCTAACCATAATATATTAAAACTAGTAATGCAAAGAAACCATGTTAACACTCAGATTATGATTAACTCTGCCAAAGAATAGGAAATAGCCTCAATGAAATGACATAGCACAACTACCACTGCATTTATCCACAAGTTGAGGGAATGTCTTTCGGTACCTGTGAATCTGTCCGTTCTTATGCAGGTATTCCAGCCCTTCCAGCACTTCCTTGAGGATTGTGGCAATGGCAGGTTCGTCCAGCACTCCACTCTTGTGTTCCCCCTTCGCCACAATGTGCTTAATAATGTCCAGGACAGAACCTGAAGACAGAGGACAGTTTTCCATAAAATTTTAACTAAGTCAATGATTCAGAAACATTCTGAAATCAAATTATATGTAAACCTTTTGATAAATTGTTTGGGAAATAAAGGAAAAAACAGCAAATATAAAGAAATACAGAAGTTTAAGATTAATAATTTATTCTCAATTCTAATCTAAAGCAGAAAGTAGCCTGCTAATATCCAAACAGTAAAGTTAAACAAGCATCATCTTCAGATTTATAAGAATTAATAGAGAGTCAAAACCAGTTTGGCTCAGTGGATAGAGCGTCAACCTGCAGACTGAAAGGTCCCAGGTTCGATTCTGGTCAAGGGCATGTACCTTGATTGCAGGCACATCCCCAGAAGGGGGTGTGCAGGAGGCAGCTGATCGATGTTTCTCTTTCATCGATGTTTCTAACTATCCCTCTCTCTTCCTGTCTGTGAAAAATCAATAAAATATATATATTTTTTAAAAGAATTGATAGAGAATTTTTAACTACCTCTGAAGAATACTTAGGTTAACCATGCCCATCAATTAACACTTTAACATAAGGTATCACAAACCAATTTAAGTTCCAATATCAGATTAGAGTATACAATATTATGTGAATAGAGAAGAAAAAAAATTGAAATGCAAGTCAAATTACAGAATACTTGGAAAGAAAAAGTCATATGTGTATTCAAACTGACTTAAGAGTTAAAATTATGTTTCCAGTTAATAAATAATAGAAATAAAAATTTTTAAAAAGAAATACAATACGAAAGGCAAAGAAAAATATGAAAAAGTAAAAATGGTAGCTCTCTTTAAATAATAGCCCAGATGTATTATCAATCCCATTCTTCCCAGGGTGGGAAATAATGCTCCTACTAAATATCAGGGGGAGGGGAACAATGTTCATATGGTAATTAAATCATAGAATGCCGACTACCGTAACTATTATAATTTGTAACAGTTTGCTAGAGATTTGTAAGACTTCTGGCAGCACCTGGCTCAGGAAGATCACAGAACCAAAATAAAACTATTTCTGATGTTAGAAACTGTACCAAGAACTCTGAAACAGAAGATAACCTGCACTGAAAAGTCTGGGTGCCCAGTTCCTGGCACAAGACCTTCATGATTAAGACTAAAATTAAAACAAACCCCGCTTTTGTTGAAAGCTTACCCTGGTAGGTGCTTTATATTATATTTCACACTTAAAAAGAAAAAATGTACTTCCAATAGATGAAAAGCAACGGTTTAGATGAAAACATAGGAGGGTTGAACTCATGTTCACTTTAACTCCCACTTGAAATCCAGTAACTTGATAAACTTGATTTTTTTTTAATTGATTTTATTGATTTTAGAGAGAGGGATAGAAAGATAGAAACCTCCATCGGTTGTCTCCTGTATGCTGCAACCCAAGGATTGAGCCCAAAACCCAGTCTGTGCTCTGACCAGGAATTGAAACAGTGACCTCTCGGTTCATGGGTTGATACTCAACTCCTGAGCCACACTGGCAGGGCTAAAGTTGATTTTTTTTTTTTTTTTTTTTTTTTTAAGGGCATAAAGCGCCCAAACCAGTTTGGCTCAGTAAATAGAGTGACAGCCTGCAGACTGAAGGGTCCCAGGTTCGATTCCAGTCAAGGGCATGTACCTTGGTTGTGGGCACATCCCCAGGGGGAGGTGTGCAGTAGGCAGCTGATCAATGTTTCTCTCTCATCAATGTTTCTAACCCTCTATCCCTCTCCCTTCCTCTCTGTAAAAAAATCAATAAAATATATATTTTTAAAAAGGGTGGGGGGCACCAATAAAGCCCTGGCTGGTTTGGCTCAGTGGATAGAGCACCAGCCTGTGGCCTGAGGAGTCCTGAGTTCGATTCTGGTCAAGGGCACAGGCCTAGGTTGCGAGCTCGATCTCCAGTTGGGGGCATGCAGGAGGCAGCCGATCAGTAATTCTCTCTCATCACTGATGTTTTTATCTCTCTCTCTCTTCCTCTCTGAAATCAATAAAAATATATATACATATATATTTTTAAATATATCTTATTGATTTTTTAGAGAGAGGAAGAGAGAGGGATAGAGAGTTAGAAACATCAATGAGAGAGAATCATCTATCAACTGCCTCTTGTACACCCCCTACTGGGGATCTGCTTGCAACCAAGATACATGCCCTTGACCGGAATCGAATCTGGAACCTTTCAGTCCGCAGGCTGATGTTCTATCCACCAAGCCAAACCAGTTTCGGCAATAAAAATATATTTTAAAAAAAAGAAAGTTTTCATGTTTAAAATTTTTTTTTAAAATAAAAAGGGCATAAACTCAGAACAAAGAAGAGAACAAGAATGATAACAAAAGAGAGACTATAGTTTTTTGGAAGAAGGAAAACAGAAAAAGCAACTGACTATGCAGAGTGGAGAGATCTGAAACTTCAATGTCTACCAAAGGTCTGCCAATTAGGAAAAAGTGATGTCTACCTAGACTCTAGGTCCTAGAGTTTCAGAAAGGCTCAGAATATAAGGACCACAAAAGGGGAAGTGAAGGAAAGGGTTGAAAATGGGAAAACTGTTGAAAGTTCATATAAGGGAGAGTAAGATTCCCAGACCTGCCCTTCCCCCTCTGGAAGCCAGCCACTGTCTGCATCACCAGCAGGAGTCAAGCAATTTACTAGTACTCTCAGCAGGAAAAGAACCAGGAGGCTGGAGATTCTCAGTAACTTCTCCATACATTATCTCACTTCTCCTTCAATGCTGGGTTTCACCAGACATCCACAAAGGGGGAGAACTAAGGAATAACTTCAGTTCTGCTTAGTTTAATCCATCACACATTAATCCCCAAAACAAAATGACTACACTAGCAAGCCACATAGTTCATTATTCTGAGAAATCCAGACCTCATAAGAAATGCTTAGTAAGAATACAGCTGTATCAATGTCAATTGAGTTACATGTTTGTAACGTAAAGAATATCTAAAATAAGAAATACAAAGGAAGAAAATTTCTACTAGGAATTGAAAGTTAACACAATTTATTCATTCAACAATTAAAACATATTCCATGCAGTATCTAGAACTGGGTGCCACAGAATATGTCAAGATATATATAGCACGACTGCTGACTTTCTAGAATTTCAGGCTGGTGGGTCAGGGTAACGGATCAACAGAGACCGTAGGGCACATAAAAAGTTTAAGAAGTTTGAAATAGGAATTCCTTTACAGAATCTTAGAAGATTTTTATTAATTTTGCATCATCTAATGATCAATGGGGAAGTTAAAGCAATGTACATCCCCAGTCTACATCCAGAACAGATGTTCTGAACAAGGCTTCATATGAAGCCCCTGGGATAACAATGTCTTTTCCGTTTCAGTCTCCAACAATGTAATTTTTATAAGTGGAGGGATGATCAATCCACTAAGATCATCATCCATTTTTTAAAATTAAGTTGATTGGGGTGACATCGGCCAACATGTGAACCTACAGGTTTCACGTGTGGGTTTCTATGTTCCAAAATCTGTACACTGCACCATGTGCCCACCACCCAGAGTCATATCTTCTCCTGTCACCTTATATTAGGGCCCTCTTCCCTAATGTGGCAACCACCATTCTGCTGTACGTGTTCATAAGTTGCAGTTTTATAACCCAAGTATGAATGAAATCATATGGTTCTTAGCTTTTCCTAACTTATTTCACTTAGCATGTTTTCAAGGTCCATCCATGTTGTTGCAATGGCGCTATTTCATCCTTTCTTGTGGCTGAGTAGTATTCCATTGTGTATATGTACCACATCTTCTTTATCCAGTCCTCTATCGTGGGACACTTTGGTTGTTTCCATGTCTTGGCCACCAAGAATAATGCAATGAACGTAGGGGTGTACATATCTTTGCAAATACATGATTTCGAGTATTTCAGGTATAAACCCAGGAGTGGGATTGCTGGGTCATATGGTAGCTCTATTCTTAATTTTTTGAAGCATCACTAGACTGCTTTCCATAGTGGTTGTACCAGTCTACATTCCCACCAGCTGTGAATGAGGGTTCCTGTTTTTCCACAATCTCTCCAACACTTGTTATTGTTTGTCTTGTTCTTAACAGGTATTAGGTGGTTTTTATTTGTACTGCCTTAATTGCCAGTGAGGTTGAGCATCTTTTCCTATATCAATGGGCTTTTCGTATGTCTTCTTGGGAGAGATGTATTTTCAGGTCCTCTGCACACTTTTTGACTGGATTGTTTATTTGGTGTTGAGTTTCCTTTTGAACACACCTGATCTTCATCTTTCTTTGCCAGTTCAGACCTTACCCCTTTCCCTTGTATGTTTTTGTTGTCACAAATTGTTCCTGTTTATGCTGTAAGTTTTTTGATGATCTTATTTGTAGTGTTGTGACCTTAATGTTCTTTCTTGCAGGTAGAATGAACTCCCTTCAGTATTTCCTACAATAAAAGTTTTCTGGTATAAAATCCCTCAGTTTCTGTATGTCTGGGAATGTCTTTATTTCTCCTTCATATTTAAAAGAATAATTTTGCAAATATATCATTCATAGCTGGTAATTTCTCTTTCAGACGTTTGAATATTTGGTTCCACTTTCTTCTAGCTTGTAGCTTCTGCTGGGAAGTCAGATGAAATTCTGATGGGTTTGCCTTTGTAAGTCACTTCCTTCTTTTTCCTGGCTACTTAGAGAATTTTTTCTTTGTCATTAATTTTGACAGCTTCATTACCAAGTGCCCTGGAGAGGGCCTCTTTGGATTGAGATAACTAGATGTTCTGCTTGCTTCTTGGATTCAAGGATCTAGTTCTTTGCATAGGTTTGGGAAGTTCTCAGCCACTATATGTTTTGTGGGGTTTTTTTTTACTATATGTTTTAATGGACTCTCCATTCCATGCTCCCCCTCTTCCTCCTCCACAATGCCTGATTCTGATATTACTTTTTCTGATAGAGTGATAGAGGCTTGTAGAGCTCTTTCATTTTTCCTTATTCTCAGGTCTCTCCCTTCTTCCCTCTGCATCATTTCTTGATTCCTATCTTCAATA